AAGAGTAGGCTGTGGCAGTTGGCTTGAGGTGGCGACGACTAGGAGTGACGATGGCGGTGTTGAAGTGAGGCTGCTTGCTCCCTTGTTGACGGTGATGTGGTTCGGAGGTCTGCTCGTACCTTGGAAACAACAAAGCGGCGCGGAAGCCCTACTTGGAGAAGGCGATGCAGCATGGACGACGAGAGCTCGACAACACGGCTTGGAGGTGTGGATGCGATGTCACGCTCAAAAGCCCAAGCTCGCGTCGCAAGCGCATGGCAGGGAGGCCGAGCTCGCTGGTGGTGGCTCGATTTCTCGATCTGGATCTAGGGAGGAAGACCCCAGCGAACACAGTGTGAGATCCGACCGTGTGACCTAGGGTTTATTTAGAGCCCCTAATAGATGTATTCCCCACCGGGGATTGGGGTTTGTGGCCCCATTGCCATCCGTAATCACCGGCCTAGCCTAGGGGCATAAATTTGCATCGTTCCATTCATCATCAGGTTATCGATGCCCCAACAAACTATTTCGCCACTTGGCAGCACCGAGAAATGAGAAAAATTAGGGCATGCATACCCAGGAGAGATTCAAATTGGTCTCGGTGGTCGTGACATGAAGGTCAAATTGGGACGCCACCACCATCATTGTTTCCAACCCAAGCATCAGTCCTGCAATTATCTTCTTAGCCCACACTTTCATGCTTGCAATGCCCTTGAATGGCTTATTGCTTGCAGGCATGTGCTTGCCTTGCATGATGCTTGGGCTTCTGGCTCACGACCCTTTGGCTTCTTGGGACCCTGGCCTAAGGAATCATTGTCATGATACATGTGGGAGTACTGGATGGGGTTGGAGTTGGAGTGGTTGAGAGGATCAATATGGAGAGAGAAAATAATGTGCACAAAGCCAGATTGAGAAGGTTGGGACGAAAATGGAATGCGTATAATAAGTGATTTTGATCCAACTTGGATTCAGATTTTGTAAGGACTCCCGTGCCGCTATCCCTTGGCGACATAAGAGGCGAAACAGCCTTGAGCGGAAGCTTCCCCACCGCATCCTGCTCAAGTCGACATCGGCGATGGCAATGATGGCGTCTTCCACCCTATCCTCCCTTACTCCTTCCCTCTTCCTTTCCCTTCCTCATTTTCTCTGGTTCCACCTTGACTCGCCACCGTTAGCGTGGCCACCAGCGACGACGGTACCGGCGGCGGCAGCACCTCCCTCCCCATCCCCTTCCTTCCTCCCCAACTCTTCCATCCCCTCATTTCCTCTCCCTTTTCCTTTTATCTTTTTTTGTAGATCCAGATACAGGTGATATGGTTGGTCTTCGTGAGGGGACTGGCAGCTGGTGCTCGACTGGTGGCGGTGACGGTCTGGCTCCTTGGCTCGACGTGGAGCTTCATCAGTCCAGCTAGGTGGCGACACAGATCATCATGGCAATGGCCGTTGTGCAGGTAGTTGCGGTGTGCAATAGTGCATGTAGCTTCAGTGTGCTGGCGACATTTGGTGGCTTCCGTTGTGGACGCTTTGGTTGGATGGGACTCCAAGGCGATAGCCTTTCTCGGCTTGTCGGTGCTAACGACAGCGATGCCTTCATGTGTTGTTCTTCTTGAAGGCGTTGCTATGGAGCTCTCATTCAACTCCACTTCAAGAGATCTCTTCGGGTGAAAACCTTGATACGTTTGGATCAGGCGATGTCGTCATTCTGTCGGCATGTCCTTCTGGAAGGCTTTGTTTTAGAAGTTTTCCCCTTGTTGGATTGTTGTTCTTAGGTTTAGCGTGTCGATGCCAGGGTTTTCATCGATTTCCCATAAATTAACCGTGATACTGTAAGTTTTTGGGTATGATTTTCCTTATAAAGTGGATCAACTCTCTTCTTCTTTAGTGAAATGTAGGAGATCCCTGCCCGTTCCCTCGAAAAAAGAAAATAAGTGTTTTTCTAGAATAGTACAATGAAGATAGGAGCATAAATGTGCCAATTAATGCTTTTGAGCCCGGTGAGGGTAATAGTGGTGTAATGATCCTCAGGCCAACTAAGCTCGGTCGATGGGTGATTGCCATCAAAATGGGCTCGAGGTGAATAAAACTGCACCAGGCATGGTCCTTAATAAGTAAATTTGCCGTTGGTTCGGTAATCGTAGCCTATTTCTATACCTAGACATATTGAGGTAGGTGTACGTACAACTAGACAAGCAAAGGAAAATGACGAGGAAGGATACTGCAATGGGAGTAGAAAGTGATGTACTACCTCTGTCCACACATATAAGAGCAAATTTTGGAAAATATCATTGGTGAGAAAAGTGAGTTGCAAAATGATTATATACAAGATAAAAATGTTTTGGGATAAAAGGTTGCTTATATTGTAAGCCTCAAATTAGTGGTGTATAACATTAACATTATGTAATATATTTCCTTAAGGAGATTATTTAATCTATGTGTAGTACTAATATGTAAGGAAGACAATAAAGGATAAGAATTAATGAATTCTTCCATTTTATTATGGGCTTCAAGATCAAGAGCATTTACCAATTAGGGAGTGGTGCTAATCTACTTTCCTAGCATTACTATTTTTCCATAAATGATGGTTTTTATATATTTTGAAATAGAAACCACCTAGTGTTTTGTTATAAAGATAACCTTCTCATGATTACCAGTTTTTAGTTAAAACATTTACTACATTTGAGGATATATGCTATATAGTCTATGCTCCATATTACATAATCATGGCAATCAATAGTTGAGCCAAGTAGTACAAAAGTTACAAATACTCCTATCATCTACAGACAGATCTCGCAATGGTATCTATCATATTTTATCCCTATGAGTTAATTTATAAAAATAGCATAGAATGGTCAAAAAAAGACCAACGCTTACTATAAATGCGACAACATAAGCTTGTTTTATGTTTTTGCTAGCATATTATTTTTATAAAAAACAAATATTGTGTAAATAGTTGACATCTTTTCATGAATATGACATGTATAAATTATAGGCACTCAAACAAATATTGTAAAAATGACATATAACCCATTAGCCTATACTAGCTAAACAAAAGAGGGGATATTAATAATATATTATACCAGTTGCTCATGTTGTTTGCGCCTCTTGTAGGTGATCAGGGGCATCTTAGAGCAGATCTGAGAATGGTACCTCTCCTGCATGTTTCCATTTTCACCTGCCATCAACTTCTCTAGGTGCTTTTGTCAAGAATCCTACAATAGCAATGCACCCAAAGGGCCAAAAGTTAGAAACCAAAATATAGTAATCTAAAGAGTGAAAGAAATCAAATAAGCAAGACACACCCAACAACTTCAATAGCCTTCACAAAACAAGGGAGGAAGAAAGCTTGAAAGGGCAAGAGGTAGAGCAACCAACACAAGCTATGGCTAAGGATGGGGAGAGTGGATTTTAATCAACTTTTGGGTCCACGGAAGGAAAACAGAGGAGCCAAAGGAGAGGAAAAAATACGGGCTTGATAGAATTGTGGATTCAAAGAGAGAAGAGGGGTGGTGTCCAGATGTAAAAAAATTATGGCAACTTAAAAGTATTCCAGGCTTGACTCAACCTTCAACTTCGAGACAAAATAGAAACAACTGGAAACTTAAATACAGAACGCTAGTCTTTATGGCATTTATTTGTTTCTTGGCTCATTTCAAATATTGTTTTTCCTTCTCTGCCTCCTATTGATATCTCTAAATAAATGCCTACTATTTGAAGAGAGCCGGTGAGAAAATCTGATCTGGGCCGTGTTCCAAGTTCCCACCATGCTAACACCAAAATCATATCCACTACAATTATGGCATTGGCTACATGTGCCAGCAATATCTCATTATGACATATACTTGTTTCTTGGTTCTTAGAGATTTAATATCCAGTAAAAAAAATCTCACAGATTTTCCTATTAATGCTCCATTAATCTACATAAATGCCTACTATCTCAAGAGAGTTGACGAGGAAATATGATCAGCACCTTTGATTTGTGACAAACGTAGAAAGCAAGATAATATATTTACTAACAAGATGGCTTAGAAGTTGTAAAGTTCCTTTTCCCCTCTTTTTCCCTTTTCGACCATATTTTTAGTTTCTTATTTATGCCGTGCCAGCACTGACAACTGGAGCCCAACAAAAAACTTGGACCTAACGGCTAGAAAACCTACGTCTCAAGCTGTCCTTTTGACTTAAAGATTCAGGCAGTGACAAATCTGATCAAAACTGAAGGTGGCGCTTTATTGAGCTATAAGGGACAAAATGCTGGTAAAAGATAATTGGCAGAAACTAACAAAAGGCTACCATAAAACAGCATGCATATTCTGCAGCACACCTGGTACACATAATGAGCGTCAATCAACCAGCCGTTGAGAAATTAAAGCTACAAAAATAGCACTGTGAAAAACAGTTACAGGCCCTGTTTGGATCTGGAGGGCTATTAAATAGCCCTCTGGAATCTTGCTATTTAGGAGTATTAAACGTAAATTGCTGCCAAAACCCATTCTATAACCCCTAGGCTATTTTGCGAGACGAATCTAACGAGGTATATTAATCCATGATTTGCTACAGTGATGCTACAGTAATCAGCCGCTAATTATGGATTAATATACATCATTAGATTCGTCTCGCAAAATAGCTTAAGGGTTATGGAATCGGTTTTGTCGGTAATCTACGTTTAATACTTCTAAATAGCAATATTCCGAAGGACTATTTAATAACTTAATAACTTGGAGGATCCAAACAACGCCATAGCCAGGAAGTAAATTAAGAACGGCACACGAGTTGTACCGTAGGCGAGGGGGCCAGCGTATTGTTCATTCGAGTTTAACAATATGTGACGGGCCAGTTTTGGATGGTGAGCCAGACCACTTGGACTTCACGTTCACTGGGCTCGGCCCATTGCAGGGCATGACGCTTGCGTCAAAGGCCCATGGCACCGGTTCATCCCTGGGAGATGGGCAAGAGAAATCACAAGGTTAGTTCTATGACACTAGAGTATATGTATGCCGATCATGAACGAAAACACAGTCCAACACTGTACAACCAATGCTGTGGCTGGAAAAGGAACTATATAGATCATAAAAATTACGAAGGACCAATGGCATCCTCTCCACAAGGGTATTTGTTACAGCATCCGACAAGCGCCTAGGAGGATTGAAATTTCATCAATGCATACACCAAAACAATCAGCTCGGTTGTTGGTCATAGAACGGGAGACAAAGCACGGTTTCAACTGCCTCATCAGCACGCTTAGGAGGCTTGTTCTTCTCTACATGCTGAGAGGGGCCCTTCATGGCGTTAGCTTGTGTATCTACAAGGTCAGATTCTGGTTTTCTTTTTTTCTTCTTCATCTCGCCAGTGTTCCGGTTGATGTCGTCAGGATTTGCACTCGCACTTATTTCACGAACTCTGTCAAAACTTTTTGATCCCTGGTCAGTCACAGGGTATGTGGCGACAGGGTTTGTTATGGGTGGTTGTGCCACTTGCTGGATCAGTGCGCTTTGCATTACAACAGGGTAGCCATCTTGCAGTTTAGCTGCCGCAGCCAACCTTTTTCTCTTCATTCTCTCCTCGTTGCGAACCTGGATTAATTAAGAATAGAAAATAATGAGTTACATCATGTGCATGTATTTTTTATAAAAAAACATTTAAGGGGTTATTCGTCCAAAAAATGACTTTGCAGCAAGAGTTGCATGAACTATTCAATTGCCATGTGACAATTGACATAATGTTTCATACTATCACAAGATAACTTCAATCTATAGACAGGCATGCATTTTTTTAAGAAAAAGGGAAAGGACTGATGACCTTCTGCTGGTTGTATAATGATCTCCTTCGCTCCTTCGATCTATTAATTGCATCTTTGATTCCGACATTATCCATGGAACCTTCAGGCCACAACTCCGCCAGCTGGCACAACCAATATAGGCATATAAAGACATGCAGAGCACCATAAGATAAAGGGCCCTAAGATAAATAGTACAGCTAGAAATGATATCTCAACCAAAAGAACAATCCGCTTAACTACTTATAGTGTATAGAAATGCAAGCAAATAAACACCCAGCTTAAAATTACATCTACAAACAGTTAAAGGAAGAAAAACTGGATAACAAGTGGAAGCAGCACGGCAATTAATTTGTCAAATTTGATTTTTAAATATACGTGTAATATTAAGGGGAGACCAGGCAATTGGGCTCAACTAAGCAAAATATAATTCTGACATGGAAAAGCATAGAGGTCAATAAGTAATGACAAGGGTCAAAACATCAACAGTTACACAAGTTCTGAATCACAATGCGGAAGGAAAGGAATCTCGTAAAGAGAGAAAAGATCTGGTAAAAGTATCACGAGTTCTTTCAACAGACATCATAATGGTCCTTCTAGCTGTTAACAAATATAAATAGTCAGGGCAATTACCTCCACATATAACTTCCTGCTTTGAGGGCCCTTATCTTCGTCCATACCCTGACAAAGTAACAAGTATGCAGATAGATGTACATTTACAGACGAAACCAAACAAGTTAAAAAGAGGGGCAAAGCTGGTATGTCACTGAAATCAGCTTTGTTCTAAAGCAAATCTGCTACTTGTTTAGCTACTAAAAGTTATGAAGAGTAAAAACCACATATACTTGTATATTTATTTCCACCAACATCAAAATGATAAGACCAATAGAACCTTGAAAAACATAATATATCTACATGCTTATACCTCAACGTACAGATCATACAGATCACAGATCCTGTCCTCCAAAGCAGCATCCATTACAGACTTTCCTTTTAAATATCTTTTTTCATCATTCGCAATCTGAAAATCATCAGCTGATCCACTGTGGTGTTCATTGACCTGGTGGCATGTATAAAACATGACATCTATAATCAGAAGTGTTAAAGAAGGATGCGACTCCAATTACCATCGAAACATCCTGCTTCCATTTACCTTGGCCTTGGCAGCCACACGCGATTTGATCATTTCATTGATCTCCATTTTTACACGTTGGAATTTATCAGCCTTCTCTTGTTTAGCGGACAGACCTGATTCTACCATTTCTTTCATGTTTCTCTTTTAAAACAAAACAAAAAAACACACAGATCAGACGGACCAACCAAACAGAGAGTGCAATCTCATGGACATGTAGTTTGAGCGATTGCCAACAAGTTACTACGAGAAGTGGTATGAAATGTTATGTATTGGAGATCATGTTCATACCTAAAATATTTTTAAAAAAACATTTCTTTTTAACAGAGCAGTTTTATTTTTTTTATCAAATCTGAAAAATGCAAAAAGCAAAAGGTCAAATCAAAAGAATAAGCAACCACTATCCTATACTAGCAAAATTTCAGGTACTAAGGAAATGTTTAATTACTCCCATTATTTACCCTGAGTGTCCTTCGCTGCACAAGATGCCCAACTATGCCCATGAGGCGATCCATTAACTCATGTTCTTGAATCTTTCCATGGTTTGCCTGCACAGATCAAATGTATTAGAAGTATGAACTATTAAAAGCTGGCAGGTAGGCAGTACAGGGTTCATGAAATTGAGCACATAAATGTCAAAAGGGAAAACGGGTTCTGGTGTAGCTTGATATCGATTCACAAACCGTGCAGTGCTAGCACTTAGTGCAAATGAACTAATATCTCACTAACTACAGTTGAGAATAAGAAAAGGCTAGGTATTTTACATAATTCACAAGTTTAAGCGACACCAGTAGCTTCCAATGCCGCTCTTAGAGAAAAACTATTGTGCGTAAAAGAGATGCATATATACTGGGTACATAAACCATAAATTTCCGTAGCAAGTATACAAGGCTGAAAAAATTCTGTTAACAGTCACATATAAAAACACATGGAATTCACACATTTGATAAAATGGAATCACAGGTAGATTTGGTTATGCTACCACATACCGATAGCCTTGCAACTTTGGCTAGTTTTTGTTTTACTTCTGGAGGCAACCGTCTTTTAACTGCTACCTGGCCATTTGGATCTACCTCGTTAATATCGATAGCTGGTGGTCTGTCTGCAAAAGTATTCCAAGTACCTGAAGTTACTTTCAGAACTACTCCGTGATCCATGCTATAAAGCAAGGAAAAGCCATGTGATACTCACATTCAGCAGCAATCTTTTGCAGATCCCGAATAGCTCTCTCAAGTCTAGTGCCTTTAGGTTTGGTACCAGAACCGTCTCTAGAAGTGATTGGCTGCTGGGAAATACGAGTAAAATTGAGTAAACATGCATGTTTATAAGGTCATACAGGTCAAATATACAGCTATATATAGACTGCATGAGGATTTATGTTCATTTTGTGCACAAGTCATGCGACGAACAGAATAGCTCTTACCATTACTTGTCCAGAATACAGTGCACCAGTCGTTGCCATGCCGGAAAATTCACCCATTCCATGTTTTTCTTTTCGATGAATTTTGTTTGATGGATCTCGATTTTCCCCAGTATAGGCTCTTTTTTGTTGGAAATCAAGTTGCATTGAAGTATCCCTATCCCTGTATGCTGAATAGGCATAGTCATATGCCTCAGCAGTTTTTGACCTATGAGTGTAATCAGTAGGCTGGAGTCCTGCAGCTTTATTGAGCTCCGAAGAAGCATACGGCATATCCTTACTAGATATCTTCGTGTATGCTGCAGTATCAGAACCCATGGAAAAATCCATGGATTTCCTTTTGTGGACTCCAGCACCAGTTATATTCTTCACCACTCTGTTGTCATCATGGTAATACTCGCCATAAGAACCTATGTTGCTACTGGTTAATTTCTTCCCAACATGTGCACCACTTCTTGCAGCGGATTTTCCAGGCATATTGCCAATGCTCGGATAATCAGCTGGAGCAACCTGATTGTTTTCAATATAACCACTTGATGAATCTTTTCTTCTCCTTTTCTTTGGTGCAACATTTGCTGATGTACCAGCTTCACTGCAAAACACAGACAAATTGGCATATATCATCCACTCAAGCATATACATTAATATGCAATGCATGAACAGTTGCACACAAGTAAAGCATGTGTAGAGTGCTACTATTATTTTTTCCACTCCTTCGATTAATTTGGAAAAAAAAACATCTATGCTGCCACATATTAATGCATGTGTTTCTGTTAATATGTATTAAACTCTGAAGGATGAAAGTTTCTTGTAATAAGAAATGCACTGCAAATCCCATCAAACAAGATTATCATACTCAATAAAAAAAATCAAACATCCAATGGAATGGTGTGAGTGTGACAGGGTGTCCTCAATGATGATCAGCACAGGAGGATTGGGTAGAAATATTGTGCCTCTATTGACCCCAACCAAACTAAAGAGATTTTTAGGAATCTTACATCTGTTCCAGCTTCCCTTTGTTAACAAAATACCCATCATGCTTAGTCCTCAAATTATTGACTTCAAAATACTCATCCTGCAAAGATAAAAAAACATGAAAGCAATCACCAATGAGACAATGACAACACACTCTCAACATATGTACAAATACAGATTTGACAATGCAGAAAATATGTTTGAAGGTGTCACCCCATAAGGATAGGAAGTTTTGCACATGCTATCATACATATAAGCTGGCACTGACTTCTACATAACCCAAGTCATATTAGTACATGATACAGGGGTGAGGGATCACCCAATATGCTGTGAACATTTGAGTGCCACCATTTCCGAGACATATAGGTAACACTATGTGTAGATAAAGAACCAACTGTCCATATGCCAACGAATCGTACATGACATATGAACTATATAAAGGCCTCATCTTTTCGCTTATGCTTATGCTTATGCTCATTGGAAAAAATTTGAATTTTCAACCTTAAACTTACAGGTGATTTTGGTTTTTTTTTTTTGGCCGAAGTTTATTTTTCAGCCTTTGCTCCTAGATCGCTAAGAACACGTATATTGAAGTTTTATTCACAAATTACTTTTCGTTTGCAAATATGCTGTTTGGCTTATTCCAATAAGCCAAACAATGGGGCCATAAAACAATAAACTGAGAGTTCATGAAGGTATTACAAGAAGTAAAAATGTGGTGGGTGTTGATGGTAAATCATGAGTTTGTCTTACTGGTATTATCTGATGTGGTCTGCATCATTACATTAACAAAAAGAAAAGAAGTGCACTGATAGACAATCAGAAAAGAGGGAGAAGAAACTAAAGCATAAAATTGCCCCCGAGTTATTACTGGCATATTGACATGAAATTTGGATATGCTTAGAAATACTAACCAATTCAGCATCGTCAATAAAAGAATCTTCAGTGTCATATTGATCATCATCCGGTACATCATCAAGATCTTCTTCATCACTACTATGTTTGCCCTGGCAATTTTAATACAGAATCAGAACTCAGCGAATGGTGAATACATAGTCAAATAACAGCAGTCCTTACCATGTAAAGGCGCTCAATTTTCTCAATAACAGCATTGAACCGATTTGGTTGTGCTGGATCCTTTGGATCACTTTCTGGAGGATGCACCTGATTCAAAATTTCAAATGATATGATGAACTCGGTGCCAAATACAGAACCTATATTCATTGCTATGCAAACGTACAAGACTACAAGGTCTGACTAAAACATGTAAAATTGAATGGTAAAGGTTTTATGGCATAAACAACATAGTAAATTACAATGTCAACAGAAAATGTCACCGAGTATGGCATAATTTTATTCTACAGCAGCCATCCTGAAAGAGGTTTAGGCACGGTAAGAGCTAGGCAATAATTTCGAGCAGAGAGTTATCCCAAGGTACCAGGAAGAGACAATAAAACCATTTCAAAATCCGAAACGAGAACGCCAGTAATCAGCCAGCCAAAAATAAAGTCACCCACTACTCATGAGACATAAAAATAGCTTTTCTGCATTTATCCTAACCTAACAAAGCTAATGCCCTGAAGAGGCACAGAAGCTCCACTTTTCCACTTCTGGATCTAGTATTTAGGCTTCGCATCTATCTATTTACATCAGCTCACGAAGAGCACCTAAATCAGCACAGGCATTATTGGCACACAACAGTTGACCAACCGACAGTAGCAGCAGTAATGGTAGCGCTTACCGCACCAGGCTGACCGGGGAGCGCAGGGAACGCCGGGTCGGACGCCGCCACCGCCACCGCCGGCGCGGCGGGCGGCGGCGAGGCGGCCGCGTGGCCCGCCTCCTTGAGCAGCTTCTTCCACGACACGATGGTGGTCTCCCCGGGCCGGAGCTCCACGGAGAAGACCTGCCTCCGGCACCCCGCCGCGGCGGCTGGCGCCTGCTGCGCGGCGAGAGGGAGCGGGGCCGCCACCGGCGCAACCCTAGGCGCGGCCGCCGCCGACGCCGCCGCGACGGAGGAGGAAGGGGCAGCCACGGGGTCTTCCATGGCGAGGCTGGGGGAGGCCACGGGCTCACGGCATCAGATCGAGGGGAGCTAGGGTTTTGGGAGGCTGAGAGGAGGAGGAGGAGGAGGAGAGTGAGGCGGAGAGGGAGGAAGGCGCTCTAGGTTTTTTTGGTCGGGGAAGGCGACGCGGCGGCGGGGGGGGTGGGGGTGGGGGTGGGGTGAGGCGGGGGTTAACCGCCGTACGTAGATTTCTCGTCGCCGTCGTTGGCTCGGCGTCTCGCCGCCGTTTACCTTTCCCGTTTCCGAGCCCGGAGAGGGTATCGCTTGCCTTGATGGACGCGCGCGTGGGCCGGGGGAAATGTGGTTTGGTTGACTCGCGCCTGTCTTGGGCCGTGATTGATTCAGCCCAGTCTGCCAGTTTGCTGTCTTGAATTCTCGGAGGCCCATGTAGAGAAATCCATCTATCCACGTGGAAACGTGGGCCATGGCCATTGAGCGAAATCAGATTAGAAAAAGTATAATTTGACTCCCTCAACTATCGCCCGAGTATGATTCATATCCTCCCACTACAAAACAGATACATCGACCCCTACAATTATCAAAACCAATGCAAACAATGTCCCTCGGTGGTTTTGGCTGAAGTGTCGCCTACGTGGCGGTTTTGGCTGAGTCTTTGTCCTACGTGGCGCGTGGCATTAGAATAAAAAAATATGGGACCCATATGTCATTCATAAAAAAATATATTATGGGACCCACATGTCATCCTTCCTCTCCTTCCCTTCTTCCTCCCGTCTTTCTCTCTCCCTTATCTCTCTCCCAGCCTTTCTGATCGAAGCGGCGGTGGCGGCGGTCGGGAGCAGCTGCGGTGGTGGTGGGGAGCGGCGACGATGGCGGTCGGGAGCGGCGGCTGTGGCGATGGGGACGAGGTGGTTGGGAGCAGCGGCGGTAGCAGTGGGGACAAGGCGGTGGGAAGGGGCGGACGTGGGCCAGTGCTCGGGCTTGACGGCGGTGCAGAGTAGGGCGACCTCGGTGAGCCTCAGCATGTCGCCGTGGCGGTCCCGGTCGGTGACGATCTCCACATCGAGGATGTCTGTCGACCACTCATGGCTCAGCGCCAGTTGCGCCCACTCCGCCAGGTCGTCGTCCTCGTCGACGGGGACCTTCCCGGTGACCACCTCGAGCAGCACGAGCCCGAGGCAGAACACGTCGGCATGGGAGGACAGCCGCCTCCCGCACGTGAACTCTGAGCACTTGGCCGCCGCGAGACGATGACCGTGGTGCAGAAGCAGCGGGTAGAACCCGTGGTCGGTCAACTTGGCCACCGGCACCACGTCGCCGCCGCTGCCGGGCGCCGGGAAGACGACGAGCACGTTCGACGACTTGAGGTTGCCGTGCGGCGGCCGGTGGACGAGGTCGCCTGGCTCTGGACACGCGCGTGCACCACCACCGGACGCCGCCGTCGCTCCCTACCGTCGTCCCCACCGCCACCGCCGCCGCTCCAGAGAGAGAGATAAGGGAGAGAGAGGGGGAGGAAGAAGGGAAAGAGAGGGAAGATGACATGTGGGTCCCACAATACTTTTTATTGTGTGAATGACATATGGGTCCTACATATTTTTTTTTGTTTTTATTCTAATGCAACGTAAGCGCTACGTAGGACTAAGACTGGGTCAATACTGCCGCGTAGGCGCCACGTCAGCCAAAACCGCTTCCAAAACCACACAGGAATATATTTTGCACCGATTTTAATAGTTAGAGGAGTCAATATACCTGGTTTTGTGGTTGGAGGTTATGAATCATACTCGAGGCATAGTTGAGGGAGGCCGTGTTTAGTTGCAAATTTTCTCTTCAAACTTCAAACTTTTCCATCACATCAAAACTTTCGTACACACACAAACTTCCAACTTTTTCGTCACATTGTTCCAATTTCAACCAAACTTCCAATTTTGAACTAAACAGCAGCCGGAGTCAAAGTACTTTTTCCAATCAGATTTGAGCCGATCATGATTTGAACTCTTCAAAACTACTAGTAATTTTCAGTTCGAATTCATGAAAGTTCACATCATGCTATACCTACACCTAGCATGTATAGGACTGGACTGTATTGGTACTAGTACTACAGAGTATCATAGCCGTACGGGTATCATAGACAAGACAATACAGAAAGTACAGTGTCCTGGAAACGTCAATGATCAAATCGACCATCAATCCCTCCTCACCTTTCGGCTTTCCATCAACCGGAATCAAATCGGATAGCGAAGCAAAGCCAACGGAAGCAAAGTAAACAGGGCATTGCCGTTTCTGGAGCTCCCCTACTGAACCGCCTCGAAAGCCTCCTCATCACCATTCCTCTTCCTCCCATGGCGAACTCCTTTACTCCTCCTCCACCCCCACCGCCTCGCCCATCCACACCGACGCCAAGGCAGCGCTTGTTCTTGTTGTTGTTGTTGTTGTTGGCTTCGCTTTGCTGCTAAGCTAGCTGGAGGAAGGAGGAGGAGGAGGAGGAGGCGGGATGGGGCGCGGGAAGATCGAGATCAAGAGGATCGAGAACTCCACCAACCGCCAGGTGACCTTCTCCAAGCGCAGGAGCGGGATCCTCAAGAAGGCCCGCGAGATCAGCGTCCTGTGCGACGCCGAGGTCGGCGTCGTCATCTTCTCCAGCGCCGGCAAGCTCTACGACTACTGCTCCCCCAAGACCTCGTGCGTCCCCCCCTCTTCTCCTCCCCCTGGTTCTTTTGCACATAATATTTTTCAGTGTACTCTTTGTCTAGATGATAAGGTATATATGCAAGAATCGTTTTGATGCAACAACTAGGTTGAAGATTTTTACTCTACTCCCCAAAAAAAGGGAAAAGGGAGATTTTTACTCTACCAACTTGCCAGGACCGGAACTGTGTTTTTGTATTGGTTAAAGTCAGTTTCTTTTGCAGGAAATGCCATGTCCTTACTCTTTTTCCTAAAATCGGTTTTGAGTTATGCTGATATAGTATCTTGAACCACTCGCATCTGTTGCACTGACATGCTTGATTAACCTTCCAATGGTGGGACATGTATAAGGCTATCAAGAATCTTGGAGAAGTACCAGACCAATTCCGGAAAGATACTGTGGGATGAGAAGCACAAGGTATTTCAGAGCTACAATAGTACACTGTTTTTAGATCCGGAAAGAGTGATTTCTGACTGATGAGCACATGAATCTTTTCAGAGCCTTAGCGCGGAGATTGATCGAATCAAGAAAGAGAACGATAATATGCAGATTGAGCTCAGGTAAATTCTTCAGCCTTTAAATAGGGTTGTTTCCTTTTCATTTGGACTTCAGTATTACTGTATTGGTATCTGCGGAGATTACAGTCAAACCCGTTGTCATGGATTCATGGTACAGGCACTTGAAAGGTGAAGATCTAAACTCTCTGCAGCCCAAAGAGCTCATCATGATTGAGGAGGCACTTGACAATGGGATAGTGAACGTGAATGATAAACTGGTAAATATGTCTTTTGCATTTGCCTTCTCAATTCTTTTAACCTTTCAGCAGTTGACCATATAGGTATTAGCACTCATGAAATTTCTTTGCTACTGATGTTGCTTTGTTTGTTGGTATAGATGGACCACTGGGAAAGGCACGTGAGAACTGTATGTATGACCTAGTTTGGATTATTGAATATATTACTATTTCTCATGTGTTTTGTTAGCCACGGGAGGTTTCCTTTTATATTTTGGTCTCATTATTGTTATCTTGATCAACCGAAGGATAAGATGCTGGAAGACGAGAACAAGCTGCTGGCTTTTAAACTGGTGGGTTAATTTGCAGAGTGATCTGGATTTTTGAACTTCAAATAAATTGTCTGCATACCATTTCACTTATGTTCAGCATGTAAGCTATGTTTGCACATTGTTTTAGTAACCTCTTTTGATTTAGATTATAACTATGGATTATCTACTTGATTATAAGAAAAAATTAAATATTTTTAGAAATAAACTCAATAGATCGTTAGTGGTCTAAGCAATGGAGTAGAAGAATGTTTTCTGAAGCATGGGGCAAATAATCTGTTTTGATAATCCAACGAGTAATCTGAAAAGAAGAGGAGTTTTAGCTATCCCATCGTATGAATGCTTTCGTCATAATTTCTATGACCATTTTTTTTTCAGTGATAACTTAATGTTCTATAAGGAACCCAAATGAAATTCCTAAGGTGTTAAAAGCACCCAAGGATCTTTCCATCAGTTATGGAAGCTGGCAATATTAAGCAATCAGAGGATTTAAATGCTTTGCATATCCTGATTTCTATCACACATTACTCATTTTCAACAATGAATTGAATTCTGCTTTACCTTGTACTAGTATAATACTGCCACAGCCCACATAAGGAAATCAACTACTCCTTACCTAAGCCACAGCCCACATAAGGAAGTATAAATTAGACTTGCAGTGCCTGCAAGATGTGGTAGTTTATCATATACTCTCTTACCTAAGCCATTTTTTTTCATCCTTCTCATCCAGCACCAGCAAGATATAGCGCTGAGCGGGAGCATGAGGGATCTTGAGCTTGGGTACCATCCAGACAGGGACTTTGCGGCCCAGATGCCGATCACCTTCCGCGTGCAGCCCAGCCACCCCAACCTGCAGGAGAACAATTAAGCTGCTAGGTTGCCCCGCCACTTCGATCAGTTATCTCATCCACTGATCCACCACTGGATTGAATGTCCTAGTGCATTGTCAACTGTATCCCTGTTTTCATGTCTGTTTCGATGAACTATTGAGCATGTCATATGTGAGTTGCTTTGTGTGCCAATATATAGTCTGTCTCTAGTACAAGCTCTGTGCTTGCCATTCTGCCTCGCTGTAGATAGCACCAGCAATGGAGCTAGCTCAGATATCAGTAACTTCGTGCAAGCTGCAAGGTATGCTTGTGTTATCACCGCATTTGTCAGATGGTGAATAGTAGTTTGTGATTGTAACAAACAATTTATGCAAGCTTGGTTTCATGCTAATGTCGTTTCACTTGCATTTCAACACATGATATACTGTCAGTTACTGAGTTACATGACTCTGAGGCTCTGAGCATCAGTTAGCTACCACTTACAAATTAAAGTACAGTATATATTATGCATAATATCATTAGCATTCCAACACAAAGACAGTGATACACTGTCATTTACATCAACTATTGGTGTTGACTAACTCTGAACATCAGTTGGTCTGCATTCGTTGCAATTTTACATGCTGCAATAAACTGCAGCATTGCAGCCTGTAAAATTGCAGATCCATGGATGTCTCCAAACTCAAAACATATTTCTCGTTGCATCCATCAACGATTGATACCATTGCCCTCACCGGAGCATGTCGCCGAAGTCCATGAACGGGGGGCCGCTCAGCACGGACGAGGCGCTGAAATTGGCTTCGCCTTCGTCGAACGCGATCCTCTGGCCGTACGGCTGCGGCCGTTCCGGCAGGTCGGGCACGTCCATGTCGCCCTCCAGCATCCTCAGCGCCTCCGGCATGGTGGGGCGGCACGCCACGGTGACGTGCGCGCACAGGATCCCGACGAGCACGAACCTCTCCATGGCGTGCACCCCGGCGGGGCCCTCCCGCTCGCGCAGCGCCGCGGCGACCACCTCCGCCGCGCGCCCGGCCCTGACGAGCGCCCACGCCCAGTCGGTGATCAGCACGACGCCGGAGGGGTCGGACAGGTCGAGCGCGCGCCGGCCGCTCATCACCTCCAGCACCAGCACGCCGAAGCTGTACACGTCGCTCTTCTCGGTGAGCTGCCCGTACAGCGCGTACTCCGGCGAGAGGTAGCCGTGCGTGCCGGCGACGCGCGTCGTGACATGGGACTGCCCCTCCCGGCTCCGGCGAGCCAGGCCGAAGTCCGCCACGCGCGCGCGCATGTCGGTGCCCAGGAGGATGTTGGTCGCCTTGATGTCGCGGTGGTAGATCCCCGGCTTGACCCCGTGGTGCAGGTACTCCAGCCCCCTCGCCACGTCGAGGACCACGCCGCGCCGCTGCGCCCACGACAGCGGCGGCGGCCGGCGTCCGCCATCGCCGCCGTCCTTGAAGATGTAGTGGTCGAGCGAGCCGTTCGGCATGTAGTCGTAGACGAGGAACATCTGCTTGCCCTCGTCGGCGTCGTCGTCGGAAATGCAGCACCCGCGCAGCGGCACGAGGTTCCGGTGCCGGAGGTGGCTGATGATCTCCACCTCGTTGGTGAACTCCTCGTCCCCGCCCTCCATGTCCGGGTCGAGCATCTTCTTGACCGCGACCACGGACCCGTCGTCGAGCACGCCGCGGTACACGACGCCGAACCCGCCGCGGCCGATGAGGTTCCGCTCGGCGAACCCGCAGGTCGCCTTCGCCAGCTCGCCGAGGCTGAACAGAACCGAGCCGACGTTCGGCCGCGGGCGCGACAACCGCCGCTCGCCGGAGAGTCGGCGGCTCTTGCTCCTGATGCTGTCCTGCCTCCTCCTCCATACAAGCAGCGCTGCTATGACGGAGACGAGTAGCGCGGAAGCGACCGGGATGGCGGTGGCTACCGCCATGTTGGTGTGGTTGGAACTGGACGCCGGCGACGAAGAAGACGAAGGGGTGGAGAGAGCGAGGCCGAGGGCGCAGTTGGCGGTGCCGGGGGAGGTCGGGCCGGCAGAGCTGGAGACGCCGGCGGCGTAAAGGACGGTGAGGTAGAAGCAGTTCTGCGGATTGGTTCCCTTTGCGGCGGCGGCGACGAGTCGACCTGAGGCGTCGATGGCGGCGGCGAGGCAGCTGGAGCAGAGCGACAGGTCGGCGAGGTCGGAGCCACAGGAGGAGTTGAGGCTGCCAAGAACCGCGGCGTTGCCAACGGTGGCGACGTACTGCTTGGCGGTGGTGACCCCGGCGCAGTAGGACGGCGAGATGGCGAGCTGGGACGAGACGGGCCAGCAGGCGGGAACGAGCGTGTCCTGGAGCGAGAGCGGCGGCGAGGCGAGCTCGTCGGAGAAGGCGCCGAGGCAGGCGGCCGAGGCGTTCGCCGACGGTAGCCGGAAGTGGCCCGTGGCGCGGAGGCGCGCGGCGAGGCCGACGCCGAGCACGGAGAGCAGCGTCGTGCAGCAGGCGGTCTGGTTGGCCACCGGCGGCATGCACGGCGCGGTGTCCCACGGGAACGACCGCACGTACCCGAGGTCGAGCGGGCACGCCGTCGAGCTGTTCCCGCCCCCCGCCGCCTTCACCGCCGGCGACACCACGCCCATCACCACGGCGGCGGCGGCGGCGAGCCGGAAAAGCGGCGCGGCGATCGCCATCGCGGCGGATGGATTCGAGATCCGGAGAGCACGAGCAAACAGATGTGGAGTAGCGCTGTGACTCGTGCCTCGAGACGTTTTAAGCGCCACTGGGAGTCTATGGCTCGTGGGCCCAACCTGCAGAGGTCAAAAGTGGGGCCGACATGTCAGCCGTTGGCCCGGAAACCGCCACGCCGCGTCGTTCGCGGGAAGCAGCCGCTGCGCGCCATGGAAAGCATCGGACTTGGCATGTTGCTCATTTATCTCTGAATTTATCACATAGGAGTATTCGGTATTCCTGTAATTATTCAGATTTACGTCTTCTGCTTGTGTGGCTATGGTAGTATCAGTGAATGGATGCAAAAACACCTCAAATTCTCAAAGAGTTCGATAGGTACAGGGAAAAAAAAAGTGTAGAAAGCCAAGGTCCAATTCTTTCTAAGGATAACTAGTGAGTAGATTAGTGGCCATGGCAGTCTTTTTCAAGCTGTGTTCATAGTCAAACACTCAAATTGCATCCGGGATTCAGGATTATGCTAAGGAGGTCAACTCAGAGCAGCTGTGGTTTCGATCTCACGGTGAGAATCATGAGAAAGTTGGTTCCATGTAGCTAAAAAGATGCATCACGGGGTGGTTGATAGCTACCTTTGCAGCGAACAAACAATCTGGTGAGATGATGATGCTAAACTAGATAGATCGAGCCAACGAACTGATCGATACTTTATACTAGTTCTTACTTCTCAGCGATGCAGTAAACTGTAAACATTTCTTCGTCGGTTCAGGTTATCATCTTCAGGGTATCTATGTCAGGTTCTCCTTTTCCAAGTCAACGCTAATCTTGAAATGCATAGATGATCAATCCAAGATCGTCAAGAGCAGTAGCTCCATTCGTGAACAAACATTTTACCAAAGTTGGGGTTTTTCCACCGTATATTTGCCCGTGTTTCATAGTCATGAAAAATTAAAGAGAAAATCAATTGTATACCGCTAAAATTTTAGCTAATCCCTTATATATCCCTGAATTTTGCTTACTTCCTTCTATACCCCTCAAATTTGATTTTGACCCCTTCTATACCCCTCCCGTCAGTTGACCGTTAGTTGACTATCTAATTTCTATATGAATTATATTATTAAAAATGTAAAAACTTCTCGCATGAGACTATTATAGTTATTAGTTTGTTGTGCGATGCATTATTTATCCCAAAATTTATTTTTAGATAATGAAATAAAAAAATATGTATTTATTTTTAAAAAAAGACATAAAAAATTAGGAGCATTCATATAAAGATAGGACTACCAATGTTCACAATATTTTTTTATAAATGCTCCCGATTAAAAAATCCACTGTCCTATTAAAATTTCAAATAAAAAATTTTAATTTATTACATTTGTTTTATTTCTAAAATTTATGTCAAAATTTTTTGCACTAATTATTTAGTCTCATTAGTTTTATAAAATGTACATACTGTGCACTCAAACAAAATTTTTAATCGTTTTTGAAGCCTATATTCAAACCTAAAGTATCAAGGGTAAAAGGACATTTGCAACCAAATATAATAGTGAAATGATGGAAAATGTAACGGTAGGGATATGGAAGGGATCAAGTTAAAATTTTAAGGGTGTAGATTGTAGAAGAGATCGGGTAAATTTCAGGGGTACGAAAGGGATTGAGTGAGGGGTACACAGGGAATTTACTCAAAATTAAAAGAATGAACGGCCCGTGGAGCAGGTTCGGATAATGCTGGACTTAACTGGATCGAAAAAGCTATCCGCTATCTGAATTTTATTGGCCTACTTAGATCGAAAAAAAAAGGAATAAGTTCACTTCGTGACCCTCAAAAGCGATCGAAATCTAATCCGTGATCCTAAACCACAAAACCAGATATCTTGACCCCCCAAACTCTTGAAACCGGTGTAATTTGACTCCCTCGGCGGTTTTGGAGGGCGGTTTCACTGACGTGACGCCTACGTGGCGATATCGACCGAGTCTTCGTTGTACGTGGCGTTGACGTGGCACTTACGTGGCAATCGAATTAAAAAATATGAGTGGGACCCATTAGTCATTCAAAAAAAATGTGGGCCCACTGACATGAGGGGCCCCTACTTCCTTCTTCCTCCTCCCTCTCTCCCTTCTCTCTCTCCCCTTCAGCCGGGCAGGAGGGCAGCGAGAGCAAGCGGCGGCGGGCGAGGGCAGGCGGTGATCTCCCCTGTCCCCGGCCTGTCGCGGGGTTCCGATCTGCGGGTTCTTAGATCTTCGAGTTTGGATTTGACGCAGGGATAAGAAGGCGCTGGAGGAGAAGGCTGCCAAGAAGGTGGCACAGGCCGTGGGCGGCGGCGGCGGTACCTCCACGGACAACAAAAGTAAGGCCGGCGGTGCAAAGAAGTAGTCGGCACCGCCGTTTGTACGATTAGTAATGCCTTATAAGCTTTGTACCTCATGCATCTGCGGATTCCGGGCTCCCCCCGCCTCGCCTCGACCTAGCTCCCCCCCCCTTGCCGGAGACGACGACCTCGCCACCGCCGCCGCCGATGACACGGATGGCGGATTGCTTGAGCTCCCCTGGATTTTCTCTCTCTACCTCGGAGCCCTCGCCTGCCGCCACAGCTCGGGCCTCGCCGCCCGCCGCCGCTCGCTCTCGCTGCCCTCCCGCCCGCTAGCCGAAGGGGAAGAAGGGGGGAGAGAGAGAAGGGAGAGAGGGAGGAGGAAGAAGGAGGACTGACATGTGGGCCCCACATGTCAGTGGGCCCACATTCTCTTTGTGTGAATGACTAATGGGTCTCACTCATATTTTTTAATTTGACTGCCACGTAAGTGCCACATCAACGCCACATACAACGAAGACTCAGTCAATATCGTCACGTAGGCGCCACGTCAGCGAAATCGCTCTCCAAAACCGCCCAGGGAGTCAAAATGTACCGGTTTTAGGACTTTGGGGGTCAAGATATCTGGTTTTGTGGTTTAGGGTCACGGATTAGATTTCGATACCTTTTGAGGGTTACAAAGTGAACTTATTCCAAAAAAAAAACGCTATCTAAACTACATTGGGCCTAGTTGGATCGCAAAGATGGTGAGGCCTGCCACCATCCTGCGGCCCAGCGCCGAGTCAAAGAAAGCGTCTGTAGTGTATTTTACTACGAGTGTGTTTACCAATAAAATAATCTTGACGGTTGATTTTTAAGTTTTATTACCAGTATAAAAAGATATTATATGAACAAAATCTGTAGTTGACGTAGGGTATAAATAGATTCGGTCAATTGAACGAGAAAATATAAAATGTTTAGATTTATGAGTAAAACACATGATCGGTACTTAAACTTTAGCGGTAATGTCATTTAGATTGTAAACTTAAAAATTACACGGTTAAAGCCATGATCTCAGTTTAATAACCTTGTTTGGCCGAGGTTAACTGCTGACGCTCCACATAGGCAACAATTTTACATCAAGCCTCCTTCCGCGGGATAGCGCGGTGGTAAAATTGTACTTAACCCATTCAAGCTACAATATAAACCCTCCCTCCCCCCTCCCCCCCCCACACACACACAATCCCCCAAATCCCTCCTCCCTCGCATTCTCCAAATAATGGCAACCCAATCAACAACCAACTAAACCTTAGATCAAATCCCTACTATTTCAGTAGTATCATGCCGTATTGCATAAAGAACCAAACTTTTACCACTAAAACCTAGCTAGATGAATGCTATAGCTCAAGAAATAGGTGGGCAGTACTCACGATAGACAGGTGCCAGTCACCTTCTCCTCTAAAGTTGAGGTCCATTGCTGTCGTCACATCGACGATGGAGCCCTACCATGCGGCGCCTCTTGGTGCAGCTCAAATCGACGGCTGAAGTAGGGTGAGAAGGCCAACGATCACCAACATCACCCTACTAGGGGGAGCTAGGGAGGGGTTTCTAGGTAGTATCGTCACTCAAAGGGGCAAAGTGTTGTGGTAGAAATTGTCTATGTGTCACGTTGGTTATTAGCTCTGGTCAAACGAGATTTGGATCTGCTGTGGTTTATTAAACTAAGATCATGGACACCTAAACATGAAATTTTTATGTTTAACTAAGGATGATCATATATTTCACTCTAGATTTATTCTACCACCAATAGATATAACCGCAAATTTTGCCTTGCAAGATTTTTTTTATACATCTACCTTTTACAAATATACAACCGAAGGACAGGTTAAGGTTAAAAGTGCTTAACAATCGTTGTACTACAGCTCTAACAGGTTTAAGAGCACAAATGCTGGTCAAGACAAAAAGGGCCAGACAGGGGACAGCTCCAGCCACTGCTTTATTGTTTCTGTCCAGGCAGCAAGGGCCCCTGCATTTGTTTGATGCCATAATCAGTCGACTCCTTTTATACTCTAAGCCAGTTTAATCTGTCCAATTAGGTGCTTAAACTAGTACTCGGGTTATCATCGTATACATGATGATTCCTGAATCTTATTAAGTGCATGCATCTGTTTTATCTATCATATATACTAGTACTACTCTTCTGGAGCTTTTTTAAAAAAAAAAGAATGGCCCTCCATCACAAAGGCACATTCGTGTATCCCTAGCCATTGCTTTTCTTTCCTCTTGGGCTAGGACCGGTCAAATGGAGAATGTAAGCATTCTGAAAGTTATTAGTGTGATTCTATATGAACCCCAAATCATACTGAGTTTAAGTGCGGATGCTACTATGATCTAATGCACTCATTCTTAAGAACTACAAATTAATTATATCTCCGTTCTTTTCAGCCTATTCAATGGATTAATATCGCCCCAGATTATTTACTCCATATGCTTCTTGAAAATATGATTTGTTCTATGCTGTAGTATTTGTTAAGTTTATTTCTTATTTTATATACTTTTTTCTATAATCAAGTAGATAATTCACAATAATTCGGTGAACATCTGTTTCAAACACTACTCCCTCCGTCCCACAATATAAGGGATTTTGAGTTTTTGCTTGCAACGTTTAACCACTTGTCTTATTCAAATTTTTTTTGTAAATATAAAAAACGAAAAGTTGTGCTTAAAGTACTATAGATAATAAAGTAAGTCACAAATAAAATAAATAATAATTTCAAAAAAAATTGAATAAGACGAGTGGTCAAACGTTGCAAGCAAAAACTCAAAATCACTTATATTATGAGACGGAGGGAGTAATATCTAATCCTGAACAGTGACATATGGGCTTGGGCGCTTGACTAAAGTTGTCCTTGGATGCTCTTAAATCTCATGATACATTGATCAATCGAGGTCCATCCAACGGGAGATGAACAATGATTCATGGCCAAGTGGACTCCGAAAAGAGGAGATACCGAACCTATTCCATGGAACCAAAAAAAGAATGGACGAAAACTCCAAATCCCATCGCCGTGAGAGGCACAGATCTGCATGCAGACAGCCTTAAGCAAAGCACCCTATATAAACCCGGCCTAACCGCTGCAGATGAAACACACACCACACCAAGCTCTCACCAAGCTGGACATATATATCTTGCCATTTTGCTGATCCATTTTCTGCTTAATTGCTCGGTTAATCCCTGCAAGGGGAGTAGAACTGAAGCAGGAGATCGAGCAGCTATCTTCTTCAGAGAAAGGTAATTTAGCTAGCCATGCATTGGAAAGGATCTGTAAATGTGTTGCACGCACGCACTGAGGTAGCAAGTGGTAGAATGCAGGAGACTGTTGCCATCTTATCTTAGCTCTTATGATGCGAAAATCGATATCTGTTACAGTGAAGTTTTCGGCTATCTGACTGACCTTTGCGCGTCAGCGAAATTGAGTGGTGTTGCCGCGCTGTGATGATCCTTTTTTTTTGTGTGTGTGCTATATGCGTGTGAGGACCGTTGACTCGGATGCTGGGGTAACAGTGTGGTGTGGCAAGTAGGTACACCCTGTTCGCCCGTTGACCCCCATAAACACATGAAAATCGTAGTGCCTCAAGACTTCAAGAATAGTCAAGTCTGAACAAAATTGTACACCTGAACAGTAACCCTTTAGGATTTTGCCATTTGATGTCTTCTATCATATCTTTGCCAAAACCAGACCATCTGACATAATCGCCCTTGTGACTCAGCGATCACATTTATCTAGCTCTATATCAGATGATCTGGTTACATTTTTATCCATCATCTCTATGTCTATGTGAACTTGTGAAGTAGATATATAGATTTTTTTTTCTTTTGATAAAAGATGATATCTTTTTACGGGTTTATTTGGTAGAACTATAACTTCTAGATTCTGGTGGAAAATAGGGCTAACTCCAGCTTTAAATTTTTAAGAATCATATATTCCTCTTACTCTTAGGCCAGCGTTCAATGTCCACTCTAGCTGTGCAATTTGCAGTGTATCACCTTTCTCCCCAACAAGGCCACCAGCCACCGTTCCCGGCAGCCGCCGCCCGGCCCCTCGTTGCCGACATGGTCCTGCACCCACTTCGCTCGCGCGCGCGCGCGCGCCGCCGGCGCCTATAAATCGCAACCCCACCCCGGCCTCACCCACCACCTCGCACTTGCATTGCAGAATTCGCACATGCATCTACGTGCATAGGTCACAGCCTCCTGCTGCTGCTGCACACTGCTTGCTGTGTGTTGCTGAGCCGTGCACTCTGTGTTGCCAGCTGATCAGCTGAGACCATGGGGGAGAACGTGGTTGGCACGTACTACTACCCGCCTTCGGCGGCCGCCATGGACGGCGTGGAGCTCGGCCACGCCGCCGCCGGCTCCAAGCTCTTCGACGACGACGGCCGCCCCAGGCGCAACGGTAAGCGCATGCACGCAGCACACGGCGTACGTGATTAATCAAGCTTCTTGCTGATGGTCGCTGACTGACGGCGGTGGGTGCAGGGACGATGTGGACGGCGAGCGCGCACATCATCACGGCGGTGATCGGCTCCGGCGTGCTGTCGCTGGGGTGGGCCATCGCGCAGCTCGGCTGGGTGGCCGGGCCGGCGGTCATGGTGCTCTTCTCCCTCGTCACCTACTACACCTCATCCCTCCTCTCCGATTGCTACCGCTCCGGCGACCCCGTCACCGGCAAGCGGAACTACACCTACATGGACGCCGTGAACGCCAACCTGAGCGGGTTCAAGGTGAAGATCTGCGGGTTCTTGCAGTACGCCAACATCGTCGGCGTCGCCATCGGCTACACCATCGCGGCGTCCATCAGCATGCTGGCGATCGGGAGGGCCAACTGCTTCCACAGGAAGGGGCACGGCGACCCGTGCAACGTCTCCAGCGTGCCCTACATGATCGTCTTCGGCGTCGCCGAGGTCTTCTTCTCGCAGATCCCCGACTTCGATCAGATCTCCTGGCTCTCCATGCTCGCCGCCGTCATGTCCTTCACCTACTCCGTCATCGGCCTCAGCCTCGGCATCGTCCAAGTCGTCGGTACGCACGCCATGATCCATCATCCAAAGCTTCTTGATCAATGTGTTCGTTGCGCTGACAAGCATGGCGTCGCGGTGTGCAGCGAACGGAGGGTTGAAGGGAAGCCTGACCGGGATCAGCATCGGCGTGGTGACGCCGATGGACAAGGTGTGGAGGAGCCTGCAGGCGTTCGGCGACATCGCGTTCGCCTACTCCTACTCGCTGATCCTCATCGAGATCCAGGACACCATCCGGGCGCCGCCGCCGTCGGAGTCGGCGGTGATGAAGCGCGCCACGGTGGTGAGCGTGGCGGTGACCACGGTGTTCTACATGCTCTGCGGCAGCATGGGGTACGCGGCGTTCGGCGACGACGCGCCGGGGAACCTCCTCACCGGGTTCGGCTTCTACGAGCCCTTCTGGCTCCTCGACATCGCCAACGCCGCCATCGTCGTCCACCTCGTCGGCGCCTACCAGGTGTTCTGCCAGCCGCTCTTCGCCTTCGTCGAGAAGTGGGCGGCGCAGCGGTGGCCGGAGTCGCCGTACATCACCGGGGAGGTGGAGCTCCGCCTCTCGCCGTCGTCGAGGCGGTGCAGGGTGAACCTGTTCCGGTCGACGTGGCGCACGGCGTTCGTCGTCGCCACCACGGTGGTGTCCATGCTGCTGCCCTTCTTCAACGACGTGGTCGGCTTCCTCGGCGCGCTCGGATTCTGGCCGCTCACCGTCTACTTCCCCGTGGAGATGTACGTGGTGCAGAAGAAGGTGCCACGGTGGAGCACACGGTGGGTGTGCCTGCAGATGCTCAGCGTCGGCTGCCTCGTCATCTCCATCGCCGCCGCCGCGGGCTCCATCGCCGGCGTCATGTCGGATCTCAAGGTTTACCGCCCGTTCAAGGGTTACTGATAACTGATCGGATCACGTACGCACCCAGAACGACACGTCAAAAAAATCAAAATTGCCCTTCTCGTAGAAGGAAAACCAAATTCACTTCACACGATTAAACCCAAAACGAAAAAAAAGGAGCAGTGATCAGACGCTAAGGGAAAAAAAAGTGTAAGTGCGTGTCACTGTTGATGTACTGTAAAAGATAATTTATGAAGGAAAAAGATAAGGAAATGGAAGTGCCTCTCTGTACTATGAACTCCTCTTATCAGTCATGTCCTGGCACCAACCTCACAATCTCAGCCAACTTTGGCGCTAAAATGCACTCACCGTTCCTTTTTTTTTTTCAAGTGATTGAATCCACCAAGATGAAAGAATCTTCCTCTCCTCTTCCTTCCACCATAGGTAAAAGAAAGAAAAGAGAGAAGAAAGCACCATGGATACTGCAACAAGGAAGAATCTCGGAGGCTCCATGGCACGTAAAAAGCTGAGAGATCCCAAGCAAGCACACTTTGAGACGGGATCTCGCTTTTTCTAGTGAGTTGGATTCTACCATTCTGCCATTGCCAAGTCGACACTCTTCAGTGGGTTCGTGCTGGCTCTCTGCTCTTCATGGAGCCTGGACCTCTGCAGTCGCCATCAATGGAGAGTGGGGGAAGAAGATTCTGCGGCTGGTACTAAAATGTTTATCGCCTTTTCCTTTTCTCTTTGGTGGTGCCCAGTTAGCAAATGTTTCTGTCACGTGGTTGTATTTAAAGTCTAAAACCTTCATCTCGCACTGAACTCTGGAGGTTAGGGAGTGATTAGGCAGGCATCTTTTAGGTGCTCTTTTGTTTAGGAAAAGAAAAACACTCGAGTATGTGCTAGGACGAGAAATTTGCGTACCAGGTTTCTTTTGTGCAACTGTAGGCCACTGATACGAGATGGTTAACCAAGGCCAGAGAATGTGCGTATCACACGCATGCCCAAAAAGTTAACCGTAATTAACGAAGCTACTAATCCTCAGGTACATCCCCACGGACGACACGGGAGGCGACCTCGCCGTCGCCTGTCTCCCCTTCCTTCCTCCTCCGCCTCGCCACCACCCGAGCGGTCACCGATAAAGCCGCACGGCCGCAAGGATGGCGGCAGCAGGACTTCGTTTTTTCCTCGTCGTGCTCAAGGAGTGGGGGGCTGGGGGCGGCGGAAACCGCGCTGATCCGTGCCGCCCGGCTAGAGATGGCAATGGTGAATTCACCGTCGGGGGTCATGCCCGCGTCCCCGTCACCGCAGTGAAAATATTTCACCGTCCCCGCCTCCATCAACCACGACGGGGCTATAATTTCTCCAGCCCCGTTCACCACGCGGTGAATTTTTCCTTGTGGTGAACCCGTCCCCGGTTAAACAACATATTCAGTCACATTATATCAAATATATCCAAAATGCTCCACTCAACAAATCAGCAAATTACAGAAGGAGGAGGCTGCTCCTGGTGAAGAAGGAGGCTGCCGGCGGCGACGGCGGCTCCCGGCAACGGAGGTTGCCGGCGGCTCCCGGTGAAGACGGCTGCAGGCGCCGCGCCGGCCCGGCGGCGCGTTGACGAAGGCAGCTGGCAACGGTGGCTTCAGTCCATGGCGACGGCAGCTTCAGTCTCCCGGCGAGAGAAGGCAGCGAGTGGAGGCGCGCGTGGTGGCTGGCAAACGGCGCCGGTGGTGGCTGGCGAATGGCGGCGCGCGTGACTCGGGTCGGGTGGTGTTTGGCCGCTGGTGTGGTGTGGATCTGGATGGGTGGGAGTTTGACCTGTTGACTTAGGGTTAGATCATATATATGCCTGTCAAATGGGCTTCAATATTATGGGCCAATACATCTAAAAAGTCTAGAATTCCTCCCTTGTACAGTACAGTCGGGTCACAGTGGAGGGCGGGGACGGGGAATGGTTCACCGTCCCCGCCCCCGTCATCCCCGATGGTGAGAGGTTTTTAACCATTTCATTCCCCATGGTGAGTGGATATTAACCATCCCCTGTCACCTAATAGGTGAATTCACCGCGGGGAAATGGTGAACGGGCCCCCATTGCCATCTCTACGCCCGGCTGGATCTGGCGGTGGGGCAGAGTGGTCGGGCGCAACGATTGGAGGTGTTGGCGGCGGCGGAGGAGGAGACCGCTAGATCCGTGCCTGGATCTAGCGGCGGCGGGCGAGGACCGGCGCCACTACGGCCGGATCCGGACGGCGACGATTGTGGGCGACGGTGACGGCGGTGGAGGTGCGGGAGGCTGCGTGAAATCCTAGCCCGGTCTTGGCCAGACCAGCAACGATGATGTTCGAGCGTCATTCCCCTCCTAAGGCCGTTGTTATGCCATCTCACCCTCAAGTGTAGTTGTCGGGCGAAAGCCTAGTCTTGGTTCGATTTGAGATCTTGATAGACTGTGGCGGCGATGTTTCATCACTTCTCTCCGTTTTCGTGGTAGAAACTAGAAACATCGTCTAGGCATCACCTTGTTGAAACCCTCAAGCTTTTGGTGCAAGCTCACTCTAGATTCTCATCCTCTTGTGACAGCGTTCTAGTTTCTGCAAGTTGGCCATGTCGAAGGGACTAAGGGAAGAGGAATTTCATTCTTCTCTCTCACCCTCTCCCTAAATCCCGAAGACTTGGATAGAGTGGTTTTGCGTTGGTTGTAAGGGTCGGGTTTGGGCAAAATCTCGGCTGTGTTTCGTTGTTGGCCTAGTGGTGGTCGGTCACGCTTAGCGGCGGCTGGCCCGGTGATAGCCTTATCTTGATTTTGTGTTGGTGCTATCGGTGTGTGGGTGGTGATGTACTTTTTTTCATTTTTCTTGGTTACAATATTACAACATTGTAATCTTGTATTTTTTTTCCTACTCTATCAATGGAACTTACGGGTTACGGCTTTCTGGTGTTGGGGTTCGTATTTGGGCCTGATCTAGCGTGGTTACATGCTTGGGCCACGTCTCGGACCATCCGCTTGGGTGGACTCCGCGGAGATCACCGCTCAGTTGAACAAACTGGGCGCACGACACCGTCTCCGAGTCTTATCCGCTCAACGCGGTCAGTACGCGCGCGGCTGTTATCTTCCCGCCACAGGCTCAAACAAACGACACCCACCCACCCACACACACTACACTACAGCAACCAGCGATGTGGTCGGCGGCGGCGGCGCGCACGGTGACCCCGCTGCCGGCGGCGTCGCCCCTGCAGCAGCATCAGCAGCGGCGCGGGGCGTGGGCGCGGGTGGGCAATGGTCGGGCGGCGAGCACGACGGCGGCGCGGGCAGGGCTGTGGGACTTCGTGGGAGGGGACCTGGTGAAGCCGGACATGGGGCGGTGGCTGGACGACGTGGAGAAGCACAAGTCGCTGGCCATCTACCCGCCGCACGAGGGCGGCTACGAGGGCCGCTACCTCAGCCGCCTCAGCTACCAGGGCTACTACTTCCTCGACCTCTCCGCCCGCGGCCTCGGCGACCCCGAGACCACCCTCACCAAGATCCACCCCGTCTGCCCGGTCAGTCCACAAAACAATCCTCTCTCTCGATCTCGATCTCGAGCTAGCTAGTAGCTAGCTGCCTCCGATCATGGCTGACACGAGCTTGCTTGCTTGATTGCTCTGATGTGCGCAGCCGAGCCTCGGGAGGCAGCCGGTGGCGAGGTGGTACTTCCCGCCGGAGGTGGACTACAGGCTCAGCTTGCTGCACCCGGACGCCAAGGGCCTCGTCGTCTGGGTCATGGAAGCCAAGGTCTCCATCCATTGATCCATCGATCTCACCATCCTGTTCTCTAGCTCAGCTCTGCAATTTCCCGTTTCGTTTCTGCGTCCCGTTAATTTGTTTGGTGGTTTCTATTTCTGCAGGTTCTCTCCAAGGCCGAGCTGCAGTTCCTCGCCATTCTCCCTGACATCCGCCCCAAAGTCAGGGTGATCGCGGAATGCGGCAACTGGTACGTAAACCTGAACCCCGAAATTAATGATGACGATGTGTTCTTGTGATCTCTGAATTAAATTCTGTGCCCTGTTTGGCCCAGGAGGAAATTTGTGTGGAAGCCGCTGAAGCAAATCGCGGGCCTTGAGCCGGACCCTGACGCAGAGGAATGAACAAGATCAAGACCATTAACAGGCAGCCTGAAACAAAGTTACTTGATATATATCTCATCCAACACACATTGTTTCCCGCTTTGTACTTCACTTGAGAGAGGCAATGAAGAATGTACATACATTTTGGCTCAAATTACCCCAAGACAACCATGTAAAATCAAACTTTCACATAATACAAATCCATCAGAAGACCATGCGATCCTTTCGTCTCATCAGCGGCGTAGGTAGACAAGGTCGGTGCTGAGCAGGAACGGGTACCCGATTCCCCTCCTCTTGGACGGGAAGAGCACGAAGAGGAGGCTGACCACGAAGCCGATCACGAGGGGCACCGTGTTCACCACCTTCCTGGGCACGCCGGGGTAGTAGCACAGCACGATGTCGTGGTGCGACGCGGCGAACGTGACGAAGGCGACGAGGGCCAGGGCGGTGTGGAAGAGGTCCGACCACCGCAGCCTGTACCTCTCCGGCTCCCTCGGCCCCGCCTTCCCGCCGCCCCGCCGGCGACGCCGGCCGCCGACGCAGAACGTGCGGATGCCGCTCGTCGTGGCGATGCCGTACCGGAGGCGGCCGGTGGGGGAGCGGAAGCTGTCGGTGAGCGTGAAGAAGACGCAGGAGGCAGCGCAGAGGAGCATGAGGGCGCCGGTGAGGGCGCGGTTGAGGCGGGTGCACTTGCCGTCGTCGGTGAGGAGGGGCGCGAAGATGGCGAAGGCGAGGATGGTGGCGGTGGGGAGGAGGACGTTGAGCCGCGCCGTGCCGCTCAGGATGAGGTTGGTCAGCAGGATGAGGCTCGAGCTATCGTCGTCGTCTTCGTCTTCGCAGTCGTCGTCTTGGTGTGGATCACCAGCTTCGTTGCTGGCTTGATCGATGAGCACCTTGCATTCTTCTTTCTCAGCCATTGGTAGGGGCTGTATGAGTGTATGCACGAGCTTGTTGGGGGACTTGGGATGATGAGAGAAGGTTAGTTAAAAGAGTGAGCTGAAACAACTAAATAAACAAGAAACTGAAAAGAATCCACCTTTCGGTACTCATGAACTTAGGCAAGGAAGAAAGGATTGCTTCAGCAAGAGTACCGAGCCAACCGAACCTTTGCCCCCACATAGAAGCTAAGAACATCACAGCAACAGATAATGAAAATAGATCCAGCAGCCTGAATGAAGGGGAGGTAAAAAAAAAAGGTTCTTGACGGAAATCAGCAATGGTATCTTCTTGGAGTTGCTCTTCCTACTTCTAATTGTTCATTTCAAAGAATACAACAGTTCCAAAGAACGGCATATGCATCTATCAGACCATCACCCGGGATTTACATCCAAAAAACCTTTTTGATTCTAACCCATTCTGGGTATCTTGAGATGTATAAGGGGTATCTATCCCCAATCTGTACCGATGTCTCAAAAATTACAGGGGAGCCGAGCTTTTACCTTATAAGACCTAAAGTACATCTACAATTTGTATGGAATGAAAGAATGGCTGGGATTGCTTGCAGTTCGCTGGTCAAAATCATTCTGCTGCTCTTGGTGACCTAAGAGGGAGGCCTTCAGCAGCAGACCTGAGGGGGATGCCTTCAGCCGCATAGCCATCTTCATCATGTTTCGGTATTCGGATAGGTAGAGTTGGTGGGAGTCCTACGAGGCCAGAGTGAGAATTCACAAACATATTTTTTGCAAATTAAAGAAAGAGTATGAAATCATACCATCGACCATATCTTTCGTCTTGTGAAGAAGAAACGTCCCAGAAAGGATGGTAACAAAACCACACATCTCTGTCACAATTTGAGTTGGATTTTGACGATCCCAGTCCTGCATGCAAGTATATTAGTTATCCACAACACAACTTGAGCTTGTTCACTAAGCACAGCAGGTTTCCACCGCTACATGTATAACTGATAGGACAGTGGACAGCAGTGATAGTTTATATTTAAGTTTTGCAGACTGCAAGAAGTATTTTATATTTTAGTTTATATTTAAGTTAGATGGGACAGGCTGCAAGGCATAATATTGACCACAACCACAAGGCTCAAAATTATATAAAGATTCTATGTCCATGTAGCGTAACAATTCAGCCAACAGCCAAATCAACTGACTAGCAACAAAGTTAAGGCCCTGTTTAGATCCCACCCCAAAATTTTTCACCCTGTCACATCGAACGTTTGAACACCTGCATGAAGTATTAAATATAGGCTAAAAAAAATTAATTGCACAGATTGCGACTAATTTGCGAGACAAATCTTTTAAACCTAATTGCTCCATGATTTGACAATGTGGTGCTACAGTAAACATTTGCTAATGACGGATTAATTAGGCTTAATAAATTCATCTTGCGGTTTACTGACGGATTCTGTAATTAGTTTTTTTATTAGTGTCCGAAAACCCCATGCGACACCCTATATAATACCTAGCGTGACACACCAAAACTTTACACCCCTGGATCTAAACACTCCTTAATCAAGTTGAACAGGTCAAGCATTGATAGCAGGATTGCCTAGGGAACTTCAAAACAATAGCTTTGTCATGGATCATACAGTTGGTTCAATGTCTACAGCTTCAAATAATAATCAAATTTATCAGGTAATGGCCAGTAAGTCAGTGACTGCCCTCAAAAACAAAATATTTGGGGATGATATGAGTTGGACTAATCTTGATAGAAGAGAAGGATTGTAAGTGTTAACTTTGATGCCTAACTTTCCATGCAATCTTAGTCACACCACACATTATAAGGAGTTTAGTCCACTGCCACAGTTGTGGCTTCCAGACTCTAAGCCATAGCTGTCTCAACCCATCATCACAAAGTTGGGCATAAACCAAACATGCATTACTGGCACTGAGTACAGCTGTCAGCAAGCTGAGCTCGAGCAAGCTTAGGTCCCAGGCTCAAGCTCCACATAAACTAGAGCTGAGCTCAATCTGAGCCTAGACTAACCTTCAAGCTTGTAATTAGTCTAAGTTTCGACTCGGATGAAGCTCAAGCCTGCTTGAGCTCGGCTACACAAAGCTCGGAATCTCACCAGGACCGCGGTGGTGATGATGCCTGGAGATGTATTATCCAGCAGACCAGCAGGGGAGTACCCTGCTGCCCTGGTCACACTAGCAGCTCACAGAAGGAGAAATAGAGAGAAGGAGCAAGGAGAGTAGACAGGCGGCTGCCACCGGTATGAATAAGATGATGTGTGGCATACTGGCATGCAACTAGGATGCATTGCAGATAGCTAGCATTACTGCACTAGCCTTGGGCTTGACATTGAGGAATTGAAAACTTCAATGTAGAGCAGGTAAAGCATGAGAGATTGACAGGCTATGAGAAGAGCATAATCCTTATGCATGCATTAGAGCTTGGCTCAATGCGGAGCACGAGCCTTAGGCTTGATCTCAGTTCGTTTTAGGCTTGAGCCAAGCCCAGAACAAGCTGAGCTCGAGTAGCTCACAAGCCTTAAGCAAAGACTGTTAAGTGCCCTCGAGTTTTTTTTACAGCCTTAGCAGAGTACTAAGCACACAAGTACATACTCCATATTAACTAGGAAAATGTGGTATAGAGTGAATAGGATCGGTATTTCTGTACTCATCTAGCAAGAAATGCCACTTAGTTTCTACAGAAACATGTGCCCTTGTATTATGGGGTGGCCACAGAAGCAGATGGCCAGAATGGTAATAAATTTCAGCAGTGTATGCTTCAGCAAAATCTTACAGCATGGTATTTGTCCCGACAATGCTAATGATAGAAATCTCACAAAAAAGTTGAACAAATAGAACGGCGATGAGGTTCAGGACAATAGGTGATACTGTAAAGAGCGGTTCAAGAATCAATTGTACGTCACACGCTCAAACTATTGGAGAAAGAAGGGAAAATAAATGAGAAACATGAAGGTGTTAAAGCTCAATTCCTAGTTTCTGATTTGTTCTGATGAGACTCAGTTATCTCCCTTATTTATCATAATTCCTATGTACAAATATGGAAATAAAAAAAAGCATATTGCTGTTGACAAAATGCAGAGAAGGATATACTTTTGTGCTGAAAAATATAATCTGACAATACTCCGAGTAACCAACACATTACATTAGCATCTGAAAGCTATATATAAGCAACCTCAATGTAAAATTCTAGTCAAAACAAGCTTTGCTTCATTTATGCCAAACTTGCAGTTTTAAAAGTTAAGCTAAAGAAATGCCTGGCATACATCAATGCAGAAGGTCATAGAAGCCAAAAGATGTTACCTTGAACATTATCACACTAGCCAAAATGGTTAGTGATGTAAACATTGTATAATATATAGGCGAAACAACTGCAGTATTGAATGTGTCAAGAGCCTGTAAAAGGAAACAGAGTAAGCTTAGGGCATTTAACAAGCTATATTGAACTGTAAAGTGATGGACATTGTACAGTCATGCATGTATATCAAGCCTGAGTTCTAAACAGGCAGAATCAGGTGTTGTGATACTAATTTTAATAGCTAGCTAGTGTCCATTATGGCATGTTATATTCCAGTACAATTTCGTTCATGTTCCAATTTCGTTCATGTTCCTTGGACCTTGGATGACATGAAAACATATTATGATATAATGATAGTTCACTTTTAGGCCAGAAATCATGGTTACCTTGTTTAGATAGTTCATCTGAGTTAGTATACATGCAACAACAACAATGGTGAACATCCATGTCTGTGGATAGATTAGCTGGTTCATTCCTGAAAAAGTCAGTTTCAAGGCTATTCCAAGTGCTTTCACACTCATGACCTGCCAAAAGCAGCAATATACACAATTTTATGAATAGAGGATACTAGAACAGCTTAACTACTCAACAGTATTTTATGAATATCAATTGAAAAGAGTTATTAACACATGGAACACATACCGAGAGAGACCCTACAAGAGAACAAACACCAATATACACCATAATGTGTGTCTGACCATATTGGGGGATAAAGCGGAATATGAGCACAAAAGTCGCAGCAAGCACAGTGACTGCATAAAATAGAAAGGCTGCAAGGCAAAAGCTAAAACCTTAGTACGAGATAAAAATGTGGCCAGTAATGTTTTTGAGATTCAATTGTCAGCAACACAGTACCTGGTTCAGTAGCAAGAGCCCACACTTCAGCTACAGAATCAATTTCACGCTCCTGCGGCGCATGAAGCACAATGGTTGTTGAACCCACAACACAGAGGACACAACCAAGTATACCAAATATGTGAAGCTTCTCCTTCAACATAATATCTGCAAGAACAGCACTGTAGAAGAAATATGCTAAGATGAAGAATGAACAGACTGATGAAAATATAAACAGCAGGAGATCTCAAGATTAGGGAAGTGTAGGTGCTAGCTGTTACCTGATGATGATGCTTAGCGCACCAAGTGGGGTTACTAAGATAGCAGGAGCAAAGGCATATGCTGCAAAGTTAGCTACTTCTCCAACAATCACTGGAAAACAGCACTGAATACTGTCAATATCACACTGATAAGTATTAGCATGAATAATTACTTATATTTAGAAATTTTGACTTACTTGTAATCATTCCAGCCCACCACAATGGTTCATACAAGTAGGAGTAACCTCCAACGCCTGCAACCCAACCAATGTAAACATAGTCAGCGAAAAAGAACTATTGCCCATCCAAACTAACAAGGCACATATGTTATAACTATATTGTACACCCAAACTAACAAGGCAAATATGTTTATAACTATATTGTACATCCAAACTAACAAGGTATGCATCTTGCAGCCAAGCCAACAATAACCCCTTAAAAAGTTCAAACAATAGAGTTATGGTTTCTTCCCAATCTTATCAGGAAAATTTAGGCCATTCCCACTCTTAGCTGGACTAGGTCATCTAAAAATTTTACACGCTCAAATGTTCGGACAATTATTATAAACTACAATTCAATTATAGAACATGAAGCATAAACTCAAGAGTAAGAAATAGTAATGCATCATTATTGCGCCAACATATGCCAACTCCTCACCATCTAATTCCATGCCGTTGCCAATCAATTTAGTATCCAATCCACTCTCGCTATGCCTAAAATGCCTCATCATGGTGTACCCATAGGCTCACCACTCTCCCTAACCCTAATACAGATCCGCAGTACTTCCCCGGAGAGATCGCATGTATAGAAGTATAAAAGAAGACCAAACATTGTGGTTCGGATCAGAAAACCAAAAAAAGGAGCATAAACTACACACAGGTCCGGCACCGAGTAAAATGGTGATGTTAGGACGAGATTAGGTCACCTGCGCGGACGCCGGAGGCGCCGGCCTTCTTGAGCCCCTTCTTCTTGACGATGAAGCTGGCGCCGATGAAGAAGCTGGAGGAGAGCGCTAGCACCAGCCCCTTGATGTTGTCGGCCGACATCCCCTCCACCCAGCTCCCGCCCCCGGCACCGGCGGCCGCCGAAGTGGACGCCTCAGTCGCCATACCCCCCGGCGCCCCCAAATCCCGGAAACCCTTCTACAACCTCCGGGGGGTGCGACGCCGCTAGATCCCGCCGCGGACGTGGCGCATGCGGAGATCCGGATGCGGCGAGGAGGGACTGGCTGCGCTCGCCGTTCCGGGCCGGGGTAGGCTACGGGCGGCGAGGGCCACGCATTCGATCCGCTCTGGACTGCGTGGGGGGCGGGGAGAAATCGAGCGGCGGAGACGGCGGCGACGGCGACGGCGACGGCGAGGTTGGGTGGGAGGGGAGAGGGGAATTGGGGTTCGCGAGTCCACGCGACGGGGATGTTTGTGTGATGTCTCGGTGTGGACTTGGCCGCTACTACTACTTTGGCTGCCTCACCTCACCGGCTCACCGGACTCGTCTTGCTTAGCATCGAGGCAACTTGGGTGTACGCGTGTGCGGCGTGTGTGCTGGAAGTGAAAATTTGGACAGAGTGAGATGGATTTTGTGGATGTGCTTTACCTGCTATTTTCGGGTGTTACTAGTACACTCGAGTAGTCCAGTGTGTGCTTTGGATGACTTCTTTTTTACCAATTACAGGAAATATGCTCATGAACATCATGCGAACATTATGCTCACGTATTTAAAGACCAGTGGTAAATTCACTAATTTTTTACTGAAAGTTTACTCACATTTGTAAGACGGATCGCAAGCAAGCTGAAGTGCTGAAGGCACTTTTATCTTCACGTGATATTAGCGTAACAAATGAAGCATTCTCTCGAAAAAAAATAAAGCGTATTATTAAGCCAAATCAAACATGCTTTTCAGATAGCTGAACAAGTCAGATAAAGAGCCTTTTAGCGGAACTCTAGCTCTACCTCTTTTGCAGCTAGAGCACAAACAACGGTTTCAGCTCCAATGTTCCACCAAAAAAGGAATTAGAGTGGGTTGGAGTACTCTCACAAAATAAAGACATGGAGCGTGGTTTCAGACTGCTCCACAACTTCACTCTAGATACATCTCTTAAAGTTAAATTTAGAAGTTGAATCTCTACCAAACAAGCCTAAAGTGGCAGAAGAAATGAAGCATTTATAACTGGTTATGTTAAGTGGTCATCTTAAAGAGATATATATTGTATCTGCCTCAAAAATATAATAATTTCTAGAGTTCAGATGCTGTTTCAAATATAACTATCGAATATGTAATGCTCCGCTTTTCGTGAGGCGTTAAAAAAACTAATTCGGCAAAATCTTATATGCGAAATTTTTCGTTCTTTGTGTGCGAGTCTAAGTCGTGCCGTGGATCTCAATTTAATCTCCTTGTCCTTCTCGTCGCCATCAAAATCGTCCACCTCAAGATTCCAATTCCGATTCGAGTCTCCGAAATCAAATTCCGAAAGTCAATCCCTTCCTTTGAATCCTCTCCAAATAATTGTTCCCATTCCCGAAAGTATCAAACACCCGCTTTGTTTCCTTCCTCGTCTCCTTGAACCCTTGTGTACAAGTTTCAAATTTAGATTCAAATCCAAGCTCCAATTCTCTCCAATTCAAATTCTAAGAAGAAGTCTATTTTGCCTCCCTCTGTTTTGGATGGACCAGTTTCCTTCCCCTTGGCCCATCTCCCCTCTGCCGCTCCCCTTCTCGCGTGCGTCGCACGTGCCCAGAGCGAGAGCGTCGTCTCTCTTCCTCTCTCTCTCTGTCTCGATGCCTACGCTCTCTCTGTTTCCTTTCTCTCTCTCCTCTCGCCACGCTATGCGCCGTCGCCGCGAATCGATTTTCGCCACCGCCTTTGAAATCCCGCCGCTGCCTTTCGAATTCCCGCCGCGCCCTTGCGTCCACGCGCGCGCTCCCGCGTCGTGGCCGACCGCCCGGGCGCTCGCCTTTTGCCGTCATCCATGGCTCCACCGCTAACTTCCAAAGCAGAGAGGCAGTGCCACCCTCCTCTCTCTCTCACACACCAAAATGGCAAGGGACCGAGCCTCTTTCCTCCCTCCCCTTTTCCTTTTTCTCTTCCCAGACCGGCACCCTGCTCCGCCAATGGCGCCTAGCACCGAGGACCGCGAGCCCGCGACTGCCTCGTCCCCTTGACCGCCCCAATGTCGGTTCCTTCCCTTCAAAGCCCCATCCGCGCCTATAAAGCCCACAGCCGAGCCCCTCCTCTCAATCCCTCCCGCTTCACTCTCCACCGCTGCAGCGCCATTGTTGCTGCCAAACCACCATCGCCGCCTTGCTGCCGCCATCCTCGCCTTCCTCCGCCGTCGCGTGTGCCGGGAAGCTGGCTTGCGCGCGGAGCCGAAGAGGACTCCGGTCGCCCTCTCTCCCTCCCCTTCCCCGGCCCGAGGCCGAGGCAATCCCTTCTGTGCCGTCGGACGCTCTTCCCGGCGACCTCCCGACGCGGTAGCCCCGTTCTCCCTCCCCGCTCTTCCTCTCCCTCCTAACTTGCGCGATTGCTAGCCTAGACCTTCCCGAACGTGCCTAGTCACCGCCCAAGCGTCGCCGCTGCTCGCTGTGAGCTCGCCGCCGTCGACAGCCGCTCCCGGAGGCCGCCTCTCGTCGCCGGACCTCCACGGCGCTGCTCTGCTCCATCCGACCACCATGGCGAGTTCCCTTGGTCCCGGAGATGCTCCCGACGCCGCGAATTGACCCCATTCCCTCCCGGCGCGATTTCCCCTTCTTCTCCCCGCCGGCGTGCGCCGCCGCAATCCGTCGCCTCCGTCCAGCCCCGGCCGCATCTGAGCCGAGGAATGGAATCCATGCCTCCTTTCCTCCCCTCCGGTGGTCTCCCTTTCTCCCTTCGCGCCTCGCGCCGCTCCGTCGACGCGCGCCGCCGTCCGCCGTTAATCCCCGCCGCAGGCCGTCTTCCTCCTCTCGCTCGCCAGCGTGGCCGCCACCTCGGCGCCACATGGGCTTGTCCCGGTCAGCTGCTCCCTCCGTCCCCCGCTCGCGCGCGCGGTCCACCGCGAGCCGTGAGGCTGCGCGTGGGCCCGTCGCCTCCTAGTCCTCCGAGCACCGCGCCGTGCACCGCTCCCCCTCCCGAACCCCAGCGCCGCCCTTGCGTGCGCCCACCTCTTCGTGAACCGTGTCGCCGACATGCGAGCCCCACCAGGGACCCGCGTGGTGGACCGCGTCCACCCGAACCGCCCTCCCTCTCTCCCCGCGCGCCCTAATGGGCCGCCTCCCCATGGCCGCGCTCGGCCCAATGGCCGGCCAAGCCTTGTGAATCCCTCGGGCCGCGCCTAAGCCGCCCGAGGAAGTCTAAATCCGATCCCTCCTTCCTTTTCTTTTCCAAGGGAATTAATAATTCCTTTTCCTTTAGACAGAAAATCAAATAATCCTTAGAAAATCCATATCTTCCCAACCGCTCATCCGATTGATTTCGTTCAACTTCCAGTAAATCCATAAAATTGAGATCTATTCAATGGCACTATTAATTAGTCTAAATAGATCTTTCTTTTGGTCTTTTGTTTAGGTTTTCGATTGTTTGCGTATAGTTGCGGTTACCGGATTTTCGTCAATCGTGGGATTTCTCGAAGATACGTGAAGATTCGTGAAGACCTTGAGCAAGGCAAGTCACCCTTTGACCAATTGCTCCTATAATTGAAAAATCATTATTATTTTGTTTGCAACTTGCATTATTAGAATCACCCGTTTAACTTGCTTGGCCTCGGTTTGCATGCCAAACCGAGGGACCTACTAGTAGTCGCACTAATTCCTGTAGGTTGTACTACCCTGACTCCTTGTCACTCCACCTTTGTGGTACCTCGGTATTCGTGCTATCTAAGCACGTATACCAAATATCCCACATACATCGTTGTTTGTCGAAAACTTGGGAAATGGGTTTGAAAAGCCTTGAAAACCCGACATGTGGTGTCGGTGTGTTTGAAAATAAAATAAATTGTGTAAACTCACGATGCGGGGGTTGTGCCTGTGTGGCACTGTCCCGTATTCGCATATAAGGATCGATTCCTGTGGGAAATTCATCCGAGCATATAACAAGTGCGACCACACGGGTGCAATGGGACGCCCCTGGCTGAGTAAATAGCAAACCAGGGAAGCCTTGATGCCAAGAGACATGTGGATTCAATGGGGTGGTGTCGGGTGGAATCCTCAGGCTTCCTGGCACAGTATGGTCTAGGACCTAACCTGTTGTCGGTCTGGGACCCCTCTCGTTGGCATATGGCGACCCTGTGTCGGCTTTCGAAATGCCTTGTCATGAAAGCCTTAAGGTCACCAGACGTAGCTGTTCTCCACGGGTTGGATGATCCGGGTTAGTAATGTCGTGTGGGTAAAGTGTACCCCCTCTGCAGAGGTTAACTAACTGTTCGAACAGCCGTGCCCACGGTCATGGGCGGATGTAAGGTGTTTCCTATAGCGTAGATGTGTTTGCCTGTGCTTTGTAAAAAGTTGTTGTGGTGTGGGAATCGTTACCAGAATCAGCCTATGTGGCAGATGGATGACCTGAGTGGTCAAGAAACGAATCTGTGTGATTCGGGATGTCTACGGGCATCATAGACTAGGCTTCCCGAGTGGAAGCGGATTGTTGTGCTGCTGGGCAGTTGGACTCTGGGAGTCCGAGAAAATGAAAAGGCTCTGGGAGCCGCTTAATCAAGTGAAATGGCTCTGGGAGCCGAGAAGTAATGATCTGACCCAGGAGGTCGGTACATTACCAAATGAGCTATTGAAAAACATCTCTTAAAAGTCGAATCGAGACACAAGTCTCTTTTCGGCACAAACTTAGAAAGAAGTAGACCACTTAGTGATTTCAAAATGATTTCAAAACAATAGATTTGCAAAACAACCTTGCCTCTCTTCCAAGCTTGCATTAAACACCTAAATTCCCGTGACTTGCTGAGTACGAAAGTACTCACCCTTGCTCTATAAAAAAATATATATATAGTTCCTCCATCTTGAAGAGAAGATTAAGTGAAGCGAAGATTAGGGTTTCGTCCTGGTTTCCAGCCGTCGCCTGTGGTGTTGGGTGTTAGTCCGTTGTTTCCGCTGCTGCTGCCGTTGTTGGTGTTGCCTCGTCCGTGTCGTCGGTTGTAATCTCGGGCTATCCTGAGCTGCAACCCTAGTTAAGGTAAATAAGTCATTTATTTATTTCAAGGATTGCAATGATTTATATTTGTCACCGTGGGTACCAGCGCTATGTCCTGGGATTGGTACTGAGATCGCGGTCTCGTAGGAAGCGGTTCTCACCGTTTTTCCGACAACACGCCCCTGTTAGGTACCGTTGTACGGCGGTGCCGGATTGGGGGTGACAGAATACTTGTAAGGGTAAATTTTTATCACTAAACTACCCATACTAGAGTATCACTGGCCTTTTATATCATCCCAAGATCCCAACTAGTCGACAATTCACCCATCCCTAAGGAGACAAATAAAGTATTTTTATCTCTCTCCTTGATACTCGGCCGAGGGCTAAAACTGGCTATATTGTGGGACAGAAGGAGTGTACTACTTTAAATGCTATTCCATCCGTCTCATTTTAAGCGCAATCATGAGTTTCTTTTTCCAAATTTGATTGTTCATCTTATTTATTTATTTTATGATTAGTATTAGTATTATTATTATTATTATTATATTATTATTATTATTATTATTATTATTATTATTATTATTATTATTATTATTATTATTATTATTATATGATAAAACATGAATAATACTTTATGTGTGACTTATATATTTTATTTTGTTAAAAAAAATAAATAAGACGGACGATTAAAGTTGGACACGAAAACTCATGGGTTGTGCTTAAAATGGGACGGAGGGAGTAAAAATTAGGCTCATATGGTTTTACTAGCATATGTCATTATTGTAATATTCATGAGCTATCTTATGTTCCATTATCTCCCTCATGTCTTGGCCCTGGTTGAATCATCTTCCTCAATCGTAAAACCAGGTATAACGCTTCTCGCATATTTGAAAATCGATGCAAATCAACTTTTTTAGCGGTTGCGAAGACGGTTTTGTCCTATGTGAGACTCATAAGACTCACATGTCGGTGAGAAAAAAGATTAAAAAACGGCCCCACATCTTAGTATTGCGGCCGTGAGTGGGGCACTCGACTGGTGCGCGCGAGAGAGAGAATGGGAAAGAAAGAGAGAGAGGAAGAGGAAAAAGAAAAGGAGGTTAATTAGGATGACTAACACATGGAGCTGTTATTTTTTTTTAACTTTTTATCTCGCTTACATGAAGTCCCATGAACGCCATACAGGACGGAAACTCTTTGGAAACCATAGTAGGAATTTGATTTGCACGAGTTTTTAAAGATGTGGGAGGGGTTACCGAGAATGCTAATGGACGGGTGATTGCTCCCCCGTCCGCCCAGCGATCACCCGCCCGCCCCCTCCCCTATACGATGCACTCCTCCCTCCTCTCCCTCCTTCCTCCTCCCCTTCTTCTCTTCCTATTACAGTACACCACACAAAATTTTTAAAAAAACCAAAAAGTTAGAAAAAAATATGTATAGAAATACTATATATAAAAAATTTGAATTCAAATTCAAATTTGAATCGGGTATGTAAACTTTTGACTTATAAACTTTGGGTCTATAAACTTTAGGTGTATAAACTTTTAGATGTATAGAAATACTATATATATAGAAAATATTTGAATTCAAATTTGAATTTGAATCGGGTATGTAAACTTTTGACTTATAAACTTTGGTTCTATAAACTTTAGGTGTATAAACTTTAGATGTATAGAAATACTATATATAGAAAATATTTGAATTCAAATTCAAATTTGAATCGGATATAATTCAAATTCAAATTTGAAACGGGTATGTAAACTTTTGACTTATAAACTTTAGGTCTATAAACTTTAGGTGTATAAACTTTAGATGTATAGAAATACTATATATAAAAAAGTATTTGAATTCAAATTCAAATTTGAATTGGATATATAAACTTTTGACTTATAAACTTTTGGTCTCTAAACTTTAGATGTGTAAACTTGAGGTGTATAAACTTTAGATGTATAAATTTACTAAAATAGAAAAGTAATACGGTGCCAAAAAAGCAAACCAGGTGGAGGGGTGGAGGGAGGGAGGGGAGAGGGGATCGATCGCTACCCCCGTCTCCGGGCGATCGATCGCCCATTAGGATCCCCCAGGGTTACACCCGGTTTTGCGATTGGAAAAAGTACACCGAACGTCCCTCAATTTGTCGTCGAGTTACAAAACGTCCCCCAATCACAAACCAGATATATGACATCCCTCAACCTACAAAAATGTTTGCATTAGGTCCCTCAGTGGTTTTCACCGTGGTTTTGTCTGACGTGGTGGCCAAATCAGCGTGGGACCCACGTAGACCCCACATGTCAGGATGCCACGTTATCACCCTCCCTCTTTCCCCTCCTCTCCCTTCCTCCTCCTCCCCCCCTCTCTCTCTCTCTCTCTCTCACTTTTCTCCTCTTGGGCAGGCTGGCTGGTAGTGGTGGGTGGGGAGGAGGTCGCCGGGCGAGGCGGGTGAGGTGGTCCGACGGAGCGAGCAAGCCGCCGCTCTTCTCCGCTGCATGCCACCGGTCGCGCATGCGCCTCCGGTCTCCCCTGGCCTCCAGTTCTCTTTCCCCTCTTCTCCCCCTTCCTCCTCTCTCTCTCTTCCTTGGGTAGGGCAGCCGGCGGGGCGAGCGCGGGAGAGGAGGAGGGCGTCGGCAACACACCAAGCTGCAGAGGGGGCGGGCTCGAACGTGGCGGCGGCGCGGCCGGCCAAGGACCATGTGTGGTCGGAGCAACCGCCGCCGGGAGCTAGAGCGGCAGTGACGATGGTCTTATTGATCTGGATGTCGCCGCAGCCGCTGCTGGAGATGGTGAGGCTGCCGCTGGTGCCTTGTGATGGCGTAGCTGATGCCGATGAGGAGACCGCGCTTCTCGCCGCAGACGCGCGGGTAGCTCGCCGCCGCCCGCGTGTACCCCGATGACATCGTCAACGGCGACGGCAGCGTGAACGCACTGATGAGCGAGGACGAGCTCCGCGTGCTTGTCGACGCCGTGATGATGCACTACGACCAGGTGTTCCGCCTCAAGAGCTTCGCCACCTAGTCCGACGTGTTCCATGTCCTCTCCGGCTTGTGGATGAGCCACGCTGAGCGCTTCTTCATGTGGCTCGGCGGCTTCTGTTCCTCTGAGCTCCTCAAGGTTTGACACGAGTGATCACCCACTCAATTCAGTAACAAGCAAAGAATCTGAAGCTACCATTGACTGCTATTGTTGAATGATGATGATGATGATGTTGTTTGTGCAGGTTCTTGAGAGCCATCTTGAGCCACTGACGGATCAGTTGTTTATGGGCATCTGCAACCTACAGCAGTCCTCGCAGCAGGTCGAGGACGCGCTGTCGCAGGGGATGGAGGCTCTGCAGCAGACGCTGGGAGACACATTGGCATCGGCGGCCGCCACCGTGGTCGTCGGCGGCATAGGCGCCGACAACGTCACCAACTACATGGGACAGATAGCCATCGCCATGGCCATGCTCACCACGCTGGAGAACTTCCTCAAGCTTCGGTCAAACATCAATGGCGAACTAAATTGCTTATTACCATGGCGTGATGCGATGATTTTTTTTTGTGTAGGCTGATCTGCTGAGGTAGCAGACGCTCCAGCAGATGCACCGGATCCTGACCACGAGGCAGGCAGCGCGGGCGCTTCTCGTCATTAGCGACTACTTCTCGTGGCTCCGGGCGCTAAGCTCGCTGTGGTTGGCGCGGCCGAGGGACGCGCGTCACGGCGTGGCAGAGCGCGCATCGCACCGACCGCGCCCCCGGCGGCACGGCTAGGTACGCGCCGCAGCCACTGCATCCCGCTGTCGGCGACCTCCTCCCCACCCACCGGCCGGCCTGCCCAAGAGGAGAAAAGTGAGAGAGAGAGAGAGTGGAGGAAGGGAGAGGAGAGGAAAGAGATAGGATGATGATGTGGAATCCTGCCATGTGGGGCTCACATGGATCCATGCTGATTCAGCCGTCACGTCAGACAAAATCGGGTCAAAACCACCAAGAGACCTAAAGTAAACGGTTTTGTAAGTTGAAGGATGTTATATATCTGGTTTTGCAGTTGGGGGACGATTTTGTAACTCGATGACAAGTTGAGGGACCTTCGGTGTACTTTTTCCTTTGCGATTTAGGGGCACGATTCAACCGGTGGCAAGACATGAGGAAGACAGAATAGACTTATTCATCCACAGTTCCGTCGTGGCATCGTAACATGGGCCCGAACTCTCTTGGGCCAGAAGGTTGATGGGCCGTCATCCAGCCAGGCTACCGTGGTTTAGGCCCAACCGCGGCCGAAAAATCCCGACTCGTGCTCGTGCACCTCTCGGTTCTCGCAGCCTCCCCTGTTCGCCCGTCTACTCCCTTCAGCAGAGTGGGACGGATATATATTGCCAACTTTTAAATCTACTACTAGTAAAACATCAAATTTCATGGAAAAATCATCAGCTATTTAATTGTACAAATGTATGTATGCACTACGCACATGCCTGCCTGCTGCAAGCTTAGCTAGCAGGATGGTATTATATATCGTCACAGTTTACTCGAGACAGCGAGATACTTGGTGATCCGGCCGTGCGCCAGCACCTCGCCGGCGCCCTTCCTCCTCACCTCCACGGTGACGCACCCGGTCGTCTCGCCGATGCCCAGAACCCTCGCCTCCATCTCGATCTCCTCCTGCGACCACGCATGCATGATCGATCAATATCCATCGCGAAGCAGCCGAAGCTCGATCACGGGTACTGTACTTACGTTTGCACGGGCTGCGTCGAGGTAGGAGACGGTGATCTCGACGGTGACCCCCGTCTTCGGCGAGCCGCCGGCGAAGAACACGGCAGACCCCACCAGGTCCACCAGAGACGCCACCGCGCCCCCATGCATGCGTTTGCTCCTTGCATTCTTCACTCATTTTTCGAGTCGTAAGCATACGTATACACATGTAAGCGTAGATGTGTGCTACTCCGTCCCAAAATATCCGAGCGGATGATTTTTTTTTATATATATAACGTGTAATCATTCGTACTATTAAAAAATTAGTATAAATATATGAAAATATAAGTTAAAACTATAGTTTCTTTTATGATAAACAACAAGTTACGACAAAAAATAATATTTTTGTAACTTTTAAATAACTAGCAAAATGTCCGTGCGTTACAACGGGTGAAAAAATTCTAATGATAATATAAGTTTTTCATCCATAATCATGTCAATGACAATGTTTGTATTTTAATGAGCGGCTTGTTTTTTTTATAAACGGTGTTTTTTCTTGCTCGATTTTCTCAAACTATTTTTCAGAAATAGCGCATTTATTTCTAACAATTTTTTCCTAGCATGTTTTTTCCTTTTTTTTACTGATGACGAAAACCATATTTTTCTCCCCTTTTTTGTTTTGCTTTTCTCGCGTGTTTTTTGCCTATTTTTTCTAACAATTACTTTATCGCGTGGTTTTTTTGCCTGTTTTTTCTGAATATTATTTTTTGCTTTTTTCCAATACATGAGAATATATGACGAAATAAAAACCGTGTAGTAGATGGTAAAAAATCGATGGATCCTATCCGACTCAAGCGTCCATCAATTTAGCTTTTTTCTAACAGTTTTTTCAGAGCGATTTATAGTGATTAGAAATTGGACTTTGTTTCGCCCTTTTCATTGTTTTTCTCGCGTGCATTTTTTATTTTATACGAACCAGCTTTTTATTTTTTACGAACTATTTTTTGCCACTTTCTTAGGGAATCGGACAAACTTTTTTAGATTTTTTTCAGATTTTTTTCGCTTTTACAGGGATCAGACTTTTTTCCGTTTTTAAAGGAATCGGATATAGCGTTTTTTTCGCCACTTTTTTTTGCCTTTTATACAAATTAGATTTTTTTTCCGTTTGCATCTATAGTTTTTTTACCACTTAGGGGAAATAGACTTTTGTTGTTGTTGTTTTTTTGTTTATTTTCTTTTTTGTGTGGCTTTTCTTTTCCTTTTTATGCACCTTTCTGCCTTTGTTCTATCCCTTTTATTTATTGTTTTTTTCAAAAAAAAAGGACCAAAAGCACCTTATTGCAAGATTATAGGGACTCAAATGTAAATATAAAAATTACAGGGACTCAAATGCAAATGTACAAACCCAAAAATTAAAATCATATAAAAATGAAATGCTCTCGACATGTAGGTTCCATTTTTGCAAACAGATCTTCAATCCGGCATATCAATTTTTTTTTACCAAGATGTATGAAATATCACGCTATAGATTGAAACTGAGAGAAGCGGTGCCTAGTATCTCGGACTCAAACCGAGAGGAGTGGGACTCGGATCTAGAGTTGGACTTTTTTTTTGTTTCTGAGAGGGAATCGCAACGAGGAGTCGGGCTTTTTTTTATTTTTATCGCTATTTTTTTACGGGACCGAGTCGGACTTTTTTATCGCTATTTTGTTTTTTCTTTTTTTTTTACGTTTTTGTTGGCCCGGTTTTTTTTTTGGATCGGACAATTTTGGTTTTTTTCCCCGGTTTTTCCCCCCTTTTTTCTGGATCGGGCATATTTGGTTTTTCTTTTTTTTCGCACTTTTTTCGCCCGGTTTTTTTTATCGGACAAACTTGTTTTTTTTCGCCTATTTTTTTTTACGGACGATGGAAGCACATTTTATTTTTTAAGTAGTAGAGAAATGAATAGTCGAGCCTTATGTAAAAATGTTAATGGCGTTGTTTGTTTGGGGAGAAAGGAAGTACTCCCTCCATTTTATTATAAGCGTATCTAGGATCGATTGTGATATTTCATAGTAAAACGACTATGGACAGTTATCCATTTAAACTCATTGTATTATGAAGGGACTGTTCAAATTGATGCTATTTTCAACTATACTATTTTTTTGGTAAAGTTGCAAAAAATGTCAAATTTAATAAATGCATAAGAAATCCTACCAAAATTTTGGCAATTTGTCAAATTTTGGTAAGGTTTATTTTCGCTACAATCTAAATATGCCCGCAATATTATATACAATTCTAGATGCATGTATATTGCGACAGAAAGAGTGTTTACTACTCACTACGTCCTATTTTAAGTGGAGCCATAAGTTTCCGCGCCCAATTTTAATCATTCGACTTATTTGAAATTTTTTTATAATTAGTATTTTTATTGTTATGAAATGATAAAGCATAAATAGTACTTTACTCCTAACTTATGTTTTTAATTTTTTTTAAAAGTTTTTTAAATAAAACGGACGGTTAAAATTGGACGCGAAAAAACCAAAACTGTATTTAAAATGAGACGGACGTAGTAGCTACTAGTAGCGTACCGTGAGGCGAGGAGGGACGGTGAAGGAGCAGAGGACGCGGCCGGGCTGGATGGCGTCGACGCGGAGGCCAGAGACGGTGAACGTATCGTAGAACTTGCTGCCGTGATGCCGCCACTCCCGCAGCGCCTCGTCGGTGGCGCCGTTGCTGCCGCGGCCTGCCAGCTTCGCCATCGATCGCGGCCGCGCGCCCCACCGATAGATCGATCAGCTTCTCTCCGATGCCGCGTAGATCGAGATCGTGAATGTTTCAGTACTCCGTAGGCTGAATTTATAGGCGGCTGCACCTCTTAATCAGTTCGGCCACACACTGTATTAATCACAGGCCATAAATGGCTAGAAACTGGCCACGATTGCTGGTCGTCAGGTCCGTGTTGCAGCAATTTCTCACCTATCCACACGTGCTGCTGCTATAATTTATAGTGATTTACGATCTGACTCGTTTGCTTTGGTATGATTCTCCGTCGGTGGTGTTTCGTGGTTGGTCGGATCTTCCATTTCCATTAAATTGTTGGATTTAGTCCTATACCGTTATAGGATGATGGAGAAGCACGACTAAAAGGTAAAAACAATTCTCACCCATCAGACTAATTTTTTAGATTGTGCAGACCAGTATCTAAAGTTTTAATTCCGGTTAAACCTACGATAGAGCATATCTCAATGTGATTTGGGTGACCCATGTTTGATGGGTAGCGCTGCACACTCTACAAATGAAGAGGTATTAGAGCACTTAATTGTCGGATTTACTCCCACGTTGATAATCGATAACAGAGGACACCAAAATGTTGCCTATTATATTTCGTGCATGGGCTTTCTTTTCTCGAAGGGATGGGCTTAGTTGCTAAATCGGCCTACGATGCTCAGCGCGAGCGATCGGATAGTCTTCGCGCAATGGGCCCTAAAGTCGCTGGGCCGTGTCCGGCCGACGGCAACGGGAAAAGTTCTTCGTCTCCGCTCCTCTCCGCCGCCTCGTCTCGTCGCCTCCGCCGGCGAAGCCGAAGCCGTCCGCGCGCGCGCGAACGCGACAACCGCAACCTGCTGCGGGTCGCCGCCGCGGGCGCCCTCGGTAGAACCCCCCGCGTCGCCATCGCCCGCGAGATGCCCCACCATATATCCCGCCCCGGCGCCTTCGAGATGCCCCCCGCGCCTGCAGCAAGCAGGGCGGCGGCGGCGGGATGTACTCCGCGCTGTCGCGAATATACTCCGCCGCGCGCCGCCGCCTCGGCCTACTAATAGCCTCGCTCCCGGGCGGCCACGATGGGGGAAGGCGGCGGCGGCGGGGGCGTGGGGACGACCGGAGCAGCGCCACCAGCACCCCGGTCAGCACGCCCATGTCGATGTACTCGGTCATCGCGGCCGGGGACGACCACCCCACGCCGGCGTCGTCGGTGGCCGCGGAGGCTGCCGATGGGAGCGCCGCTGCGGGCGGCGGGGCAGCGGTCCAGCCCGCGGCCCTGCCGCCGCTGCTTCCGCCGCCGCAGATGGTGGTGCTGGCGCTCGACGCGACGAGGGACCACCGGGAGGAGGAGATCAGGATGGCGCTCAGGGCGGTGGTCACGCGCGGGGACATCCTCCGCGCCGGCGGCGACTCCCTCCTCGTGCTCGGCGTGCTCCACGCCATCACCAATCCCAGTGAGGGCCACGCTCCCCCTTCTTTTCCCACGGGTTACCTTCTCCCAGCTCTTTCTCCTTGAATTAAAACTCCCTCTTTTGTTAACTCCTACAGCTCAGAAATTGTACTTAGACGAATTAACCTACCCGAAATGCTGTCTAGTTGCATTTTGCATTTACATAGTACTCCACAATTGAAGTGGTATTACATGAGTACAAGTGGAAGCCTAAACATGTGCAAATTCTAGAGTGGGAATGGATTGTAGCACACTAGCACTTTTATCGTACATTTAGATAGAATTTTTATAGTGGCATTCTTGTTTTGTTAGTGAAAGAGATGTCAAATAGATGTGCCTACTGCAATTCTGTGCTGTTGGTCATCAATATTGGGGCAACATCTCGTTGGGTAGGACAACCTATAATGTCATGTAAGGGAAACAGAGTGACGAAGAGGAAAAAAGAAAATAAAAGAAGAAAAAAAGAAGATCCATGCATTCTTTATTCAGCGAATCACTGAAGACAAAGTTGGATTTCTGAACATCTAATTCCATCACAAGGAAACTGTTAGAATTCCTCTTTTCTTGTTTCAAAAACAGAATCCTATTCATTTATTCAAGAGATAGTCCAGCATTAATACGATGATATGTTTAGATCCTGCTTTTGTGAAATTTCACATTGAATGTCAATGATAACAGTTCCATTTTAAAAATATCTAGTCTGAAGCTGTAATAATTCGATTTTAAATAATGGTTAGCTAGTGCACCCTTATCCATCTTAGTACAGGTATGTTTGGAAATATGGATTCAGTTCCTGTTTGAGTGTTTGTGCTACTTCGAATGTTATATGTTAGCAAAGTAATGATTGCATTTACTGAAAACTTACTAGTTCTTTTTATTTTTCCTTTGTTTAGTGGGATACCAAACCAAGGCATGTATTGATTCTTTTGCCGGGACGAACTTGCGATTACTAAGTGATCAGGTTAAGGCGAAAGCTGAATTCTACCAAAACAAGCTCCGTCATGACGTGGAGGAGCTAAGCAAAGTCGGGGTACCAATGCTTGCATTTACGGAGTATTTCATAGAGAAATAAGTCTTCTTTTTATGAAACAAAACTGCAAGTACTTTCGTCTCTAATCCAGTAATCCCTGTCCAACCTTTTTCTGTCTGGATAATGAAGTGCTTCACCGATTAGATTGAAAACATGCACTAAAAATTGTGTTACACTCTGATGCTCGTTGTTTTTATTTCAGATTAATGTGACCCTTAAGGTATCTCCTGGATCACCAGCCAAGTTTGTCATTATCAATGAAGTCAAATCCAGCAAAGCTGCTTGGGTTGTACTAGATAGGTATGCACATTATGTCTTGTTTAACATTGTTACAGACTTTCTATTCTAGCAGCAGAGACAAATTACTGTCCACACAGTTCCTCTCTGCATTACAGGAGAGGATCTGTGTGACAAGTCTTAAGCCTGTTTGGTTCAATACTTGACGAGGTACTTATTTTGTAATTTTTTAGGCACTTCAGGAGAGATTTCAAGTACTTAGAAAAGCACATTGCCTGCAAGGTGGCAGTATTTCAGGATAACTTGGTGGTGCAGCCATTGAAGATAATTAGGACAATTCCACCGAGCAAAAGCATGGGGGAAGTAAAGGCTCTGCAGCACCTAGCAGTATCACTCGACCTGCGTTCGGAGACATTAGATACTGACACTCATAGTGTGTTGACCAAGTCATCACCTGTAAGTTATTTTGCCTCTCTAAGCTATCACGAGATGCATGAAACATCCAGTGTGGTCGGGAGCAGCATGTCATATTTGACACCATCAATGAGCGCCATGTCTCTCACAACGATTGACGGAACTGATTCCTTGTCCAACGGTATGGCATGTTTCTTTTGTAAAGCAAAATCGTAAGTTAGCAACTAGTGTACTTTGCTCAAAATTTCAAACTAGATAAACGTGTAAAGAAAGAAAAGGAAACACTGTGTCCTGGTTGTATTTCTGCTATTTCATACAGATAGAATTAGAGAGCTTTTGAAAACCTTTTCTCAGAGTTAAAATTGTGCAATTTTACCCTCCAATAGTTGATTTTATACAGCCCATGTACCATACCTATTTGCGCACATTACATATGCTCCTGTTGTCCTTACAGGTAAAGGTGTTGAAGGAAACATGTTCTACCACTATGATTCATCAGAGCGACCAGTTCTGTGTGCTGGTTGTGGTCTAAAGTCAGTTCTTTACATAAAGGAATCTATGAAATTCCCCTTCTCAGAGATTCAAGCTGCAACGTCTGAATTCTCAAATGAGAATTTGCTGGGTGAGGGTGGGTTTGGGCATGTTTACAAGGGCCAACTCAAGGATGGCCAGGTCATAGCAGCTAAAGTACGCAAGGAAGCAAGCTCACAGGGCTATACTGAGTTCTTCTCTGAAGTACAAGTTCTCAGCTTTGCCCGGCACCGAAATATTGTCATGCTGCTTGGGTATTGTTGCAAAGAAAGCTACAACATTTTGGTGTATGAGTACATATGCAACAAATCCCTTGAGTGGCATTTATTTGGTAAGAGCTTAGTTGATGTGCAGAAAGTAATTTATATTGTGAAGATGAAGGGTGGCTAATTTACTTTGCTCGTCACTTGATGAAATAGACAAGGACGCAAACTTACTGGAATGGCACAAGAGGCATGCTATTGCCCTTGGTATAGCAAAAGGGCTGCGTTTTCTACACGAAGAATGTCGTGCTGGTCCAATTATTCATCGGGATTTGCGCCCAAGCAATGTACTTTTGACACATGACTTTGTTCCTATGGTAATCTGGAGAATACTAGATCTCAGTCACTGCTTATCTGTTTATTTCAAGATGCAAATGCTTCATGCAATCTGACTGTGATTGTATATGTTATACCATCACAGCTTGGGGACTTTGGTCTTGCAAAATGGAAGGCTAGCAATGCTTCTATCCATACAAGGATTCTGGGGCAATCAGGGTTGGAATAAACTCAAATTATTTCACCGATAAAACTTTATCTTCTAATTTATGCTAACATTTTGCTCCTGTTTTCTAAGGTCTAACAGTACCAGTATTTCTTGTCATTATTGTCAGATACTTGGCTCCCGAATATGCTGAATATGGCATAGTTTCTGTCAGAACAGATGTTTATGCCTTTGGGATTGTTCTTTTCCAGCTGATATCTGGTCGCAAGGTGCTTGATGAATGTGGAGGGCAGTGTACACATATATTACAATGGGTATTCACTTTAGTAGATCCTTCTTATTGTTTTTGTCAACCTACTTACAGTAGACCTGCACCATTCATTTCTGACACCTCAAAATTTTCAGGCTGAACCTTTGGTCGAGAGTCTTGCACTACATGAACTAATTGATGAGCGCATTGCAGAAACATACGATACGTATGGGCTGTATCATCTAGCAAGAGCTGCATATCTTTGTGTCAGGATAAACCCAGAACAGCGGCCTTCTATGGGAGAGGTTGTTCGTCTTATTGAGTCAGAAAATGAACACATCAGAGATTTGTCCCGGCAATTCATCCCACACTTTACCAAGTGAAGCAGTATTCAGAGAGAAATCGTCTGCTTTGAGTTCACCCTTAATAATACTCTGCCACTGTTGTGATTTCTTTTTCCATCTCTCTCCCGTTATCTGTTCACATGCATACAACGCTGTATGTTTGAGGAATCAGCGCTTCACTTTCTGATAGTTCTGTCTTATCTTTGTAAATGAAAGAAAAGCATCTTGTCATGTTATTGTCCTTTGTGTTACTAACATCAAATTTTGGGGCTACTGTGTAGGTGAAGAGTGTGATCTGTAGAGTACGAAAGAAGAGTGAGCCGTGCTATGTTGTGACCATTTTATTAGCATATATGTAACTCAGCAGTTTAGTTTCTGCTAATATAAAGATATGCAATCTAGGCAGCTGTTTTCCTTCAGTTTCTCCATCCGTTGCCGTTTTTAGGTGAAAATAAGTACTAATCAGATAAGGATATGAGCCATCTAAAATGCTGACATCTGCTTTTGATCCCAGCTGAACAGGTTTCTGCAGAATATAGTTTATGGGGCCATTCCAATCACTAACTTACAGAAGAAATTAAAAAAAAAAACTTCTGATTAAAAAGAGATTCATGCTTATAGGGAATGAATTGACCTGTGGATTGCTGTCTGCCGTCCTTTTCCATCCTCTACAAGTTGGCAATGGAACCAGCATTCTGTTGAATGGGAAGTCTGAAATTCTGGGTCATCATTAGGCGGCCGAACCGTTTCAACGATTTGAGTTCGTAGGGGGAATAAAATGCCTTTTGATTGGATGCCTATTCCCAGGATGCAATTTCAGAAAATAAATGAGGGCAGAATGTTAGTATTACCCAAGAAGCCAAGAACCTGCAAAAGCATATATGTGTGCGCAAGAAAAGTTGCTGTTCTTCCCTCCTGGAATACTATAACGTTATCCTACGAAACTGAAAGGTGTTGTGTACTAGGAGGAAAGGTGCTTTTCCTACTAATGAAACAACAAGTTACGAGTAAACAACATCATTGGCAAAATTTTCTATGTTAATTAGAAGACCGTGCTAAAGTTGTACTATGTCAGTTTAATGAAACAAATTTTATCTTAGGAATCTCTGAACAAGAAAAAGATGAGTAGCACTCCACTCATGCATCGTGTTGTGACAGCTTTAATGTTGACAAGGAACCATTCCAATTTCCTTTACTTGATACAACAGTTCAAAGAGAATCTGCCAAGAGAAGGATTAGAAGGAACTTGTGTTACACTCAGGTCTCATCATTAATCTAATACTAATGGACCCCAGCCACCTCTATCAATATCAGAACTCGTCAGATGCTGACTCACACAGTGTTTTGATCAAAGCTGTTCTTGATATCCCATAGCATAGCCAATTGTTGAAATCAGCAAGCAAATGAGCAGCAGACGCCATTGCTGTTCCAGCTTGTAGGCAACCGATCAAAAACTGCAGAAACAAGGAATTCAGGTACAAGGATTTTTGCGTCCACATCAACTATAATTAAAAGCCAAGCTTCTCCATCGTTCGGGATTAGCAAAGAACACATATTCTGAATTGATAGTTCTGTACATTAAATGAGGAAAGGAATCATGTGTGTCATGTTAAGCGTATTGCGTCAAAAAAAAATGCTAAACATACTGTACACATAAGCAGGAATATGTTCAGGGATAAAAGCATATCGAAATGTCTGCGAGTATTCGGAGAAGCTCTTCCTGATGACTGTACTTGACTAGGTTTTAGCCTTTTCTGCCTGCGGTTTCTTGCTGAAAGATGACATAAGTCACAGGATTATTACTGTGAACTGATCAACGTCGGGAAAAAGACCTGTGAACTGATGGCTTCTGCAGAACCAAGGAGCCCATGGAATGAGATGGTCAGATGTTTTTCTTTTTAATAAACTCAACTCTACATGAAATTAACAATCCTTTGCGTGGTAAACTGGTAATTCAGTCAGAGTTTAGAAGGATACATCCAAGTAAACATCACACACACTGAAAGGCTAGATAACTATGGCCATTATTATAGCTTAAAGGTTGCGTCTACTTTGCTTGCCGGATCATCCAATCCAACCTTTGCCCTGAGCAACACATAGAAACTCTGAAACTGAGTAATCCTCTGTATTAAGACCACAAATTAAGCCAATTAACGGGGTCCATGCATGCTTGCGTCAACCCGCATGAGAAGATGCCATGCGATTTGGTTAACCCATCTATTAATAAATTAATCTCTAGAAATCGATCTACGTCGTGGCCGATCTCTGCCAAAGCATCTCTGTTGATCTTATCACCACATTGCCTCTGTCTCTTGCTCGTCGGGTGCTTTCTGCTTTGGGAGCTCCGGGGATGAGTGCCAATTTGGGCTAGATTCGTGGCTAGGTTCATGGCGACTGCAAATCGACAAGCGAGTGGGTAGCAGTAGAGCATTAGCAAGGACAAATCAGCATGTAGAGTGGTGAGTGACACTGCCCACTAAGGGAGCAAAGATTGATCTGATCAGAGGCCGGTGTGTCGCCTGTCTTTTGGGATCGATCAATCAATCAATGGAGGCATGATTGGTCTCATGCCGTACTGTAGGTTCATTGGTTTAGTTCATTGAATCTGGACGGCCATCTGGCATTCTGGCTGGATAATCTACTCTAATCTTCTGTAAAACTGGCAATGTAAAATGAAAAGTTTCTAGCAAATGCACAGCTGCTCGAATATCTGCCTATCCGAAAAGTCTATATTCATTTTTTTAGTATGCAAAACTCAACGGTAGGATTCAGAAAATGAATTAGTAGAATTTAGAAGCAATTCGATACATACCAGCTATTTCTTAATATTTCCGACTCAATTAGATAGCCTTAATACTTGAAAATGAATTAGTAGCTAGAAGCTAAGATATCTTAGCTTATCAAGTGCATGTTCACTCTGATTCAATTTTCAACCCTACTATTTTTTTCGCAAAGTTACTAAAAAAATGTCTACGTTTAGTTCGTTACCAAATCTGGTCAATACATAAGAAATCCTATCACTTGCCAAAAATGTATTGCTAAATTTTTTGCATTGCCAAAACTTGGTAAGGTTTATTTTGGCTATAATCTGATCAAGCCCCAAGATCCGATGCTTAGTTGTTTCTCATAAGGCCTATTCGGCTGTTAGGGTTGTGGTTGCGCCGTATCCAGCCAGAATAGTGTTATAAACAGCATGCATAATGTGCGACTGCAGATGCTACCACTGCTGTCGAACATGCCAAAATTTACAGCTTGATCGAATAGCTTCGCTGCTTGAAAATGAGCTAGTAGACAGAAGAGGAAAAATCCACATGCTAACCGTTTTTCAAAATTTCTAGCCCTTGCTATTCAGGTTTCCTTTTATTGGGTACTAGTGCTATAGAATATAGACACACCTAAATTAATCTTTACACAGCAGGAGTGTGCATTACGTCTATTCCAAATAAACCAATCTAGATTGGGACGCCTAATACAATAAATCCGGATTATGTCTAAATTCAGATTAGCGGATATAGCCATAGATCCAATTAACCCTATATTCTAATTTGTTGTATCATATCCCATTCCGATCGTTTATTTTAAGATGGAGAAAACAATGCAGAAGCACAAAATTTCTGCTGGGCCTTCTACCGGCCAAGCCCGGTAAAAAATAAATAAATAAATCGTGACCTGATAGAGCAAGGCGTACGATCCCTCCCTTCGGCCCTTCCAGAGCCTTCCCGGGGGCAAAAGCTTCCAGGCCTGGAGTCCGGACAGCGAACTCCTCCCGTTTTCCCGTCCCCGCATCCGCAAATCAACGGGGATAAAAATCCCGGGGCCCTAACCGCCCCCGCCCCCCGACGCCACCGCCCACGTGTCCTCTCCTCCCACCCGCCACGCGCCACCTCGGGTCGCTGCCCTCCCCGGTGGCGTCCTCCTCCCCTACAAGAACCCGAGCCCTCCTCCCCTCCCAACCCAGCCGCCAGTTCACAACTGCGGCAAAAACCAAAAACAAAATTCTCCCCCGGGTTATCGACTGCCTCATCTAGAGTTTCTTCTTTCTTCGCGTGTTCTTGGAGGAGGAGCGAGGACTAGGTGAGTAAGAAAGGAAGTTTCACGTCTTATGGGGGTGAATTCTTTTGCGGGATTTCTTGGCCTTTGTGTCTGGGATTCGTGGTAGATGCTGATGAGGAGATCGCCATCTCTCGTGGTTTGGATCCCATGTAGTTTTCTTGGATGCTGTATGAATCTTTGAGCTTTACTCTGCATTTCGGGAGGAGCTGTTTTGTTTGTGTGGCTGGCTGTGCGCGAAAGCTACTGCGATCCTTAGCGATGGAGTTGTTTTCTTCTTTTTCCTCCCTTTCTTGAAGATATTTAGACCAGGTCACTATCAGTCTTGAACGGATGTTATCTGCGTTGGAGATTGACTCCGTTATCATTCGCTCATTCATCTCGCCTCCAAATGATTTGAGCTTTTTCTTGGTGAATTTTCCTGGATTAGCTTCTCGTGGCCCGGAATCATCTGAAAGCCTAGCTTTGTTGCCTACTTGCCTCTTGTTGATTGGGATTTGCGGTGCCGGCCACGCCTCTGGTGTTTTAGCGACAGAAGGGATTGAATTTTTCGGCCAAATCAAAGGCTGGGCAGCTTGCGCCTCGCCTCCTCCTTGCTTGCCGTCTCATCTGCATTTGGGTTTAATGCGGTTCTGACCTTTACAAGGAGCTCCCTTTTTTATACAAAAGGGAAAAAAAAAAGTTCGGTTTCTGCTCAAATTGCCACTTGCAGAGAATACGTGCTTTTTTAGGAGCTCCTTTGAGGTACCTTTCTGTGTGTTCCCTATAAGTTTCTCTAGGAGATTTTTATGATAATATTCTCATCTAGATGGTGTAGAATTGTTGATAGTAAGGTTGCTCTTTCTGAATTATCTCTCCATTCTTAGCTCTATTTCGGTTCTTTTGAAGATTTGAGTTGTTCAGTTGCAAAACGACTTTATGATTGCTCCCATCTGTTTTGTTGAGTTTTTCTGGGATTAATTTGCTATATTCTGGTAGCATCAAGTTCAGATTGGGATTTGACATCAGTGCAGAGTCCCTGATAACTTCACTGTTGCTTGCAGGTTAGCTGTATTCGGAGCTTCAGATTATCCAAAAAAAAAAAAAGAATGGACGGTGAGCAGCTGATGAGTGGTGAATTGGACAATTCGTTCAACGCACTCATGGTTTCTGGAGAGGGTGAGAGTGGACAGGCACATCATGAGGGCACAGGGACTACCTTGTTAGGTTGGAAGGACCTTCCCATGGAGCTGCTCCTGCGGATATTATCGATGGCTGGAGACGACAGGATGGTAATCGTGGGCTCTGGTGTTTGCACCGGTTGGCGTGATACATTAGAATGGGGAGTCACGAATCTTTCTCTTTCGTGGTGAGTTTGGCAATTTGCCTTCTCCTCCCATTCCTGAATATGATTCTCACGAAACATTTAGATTCTTCGTGTCGTCTCTATCTGACCTTTTATGGGTAGATGGCTCACATAGTATTGACATGTTGAATATTACAGACATAGAAGAATTGTTATGTGATAATATCCACAAAATAGTTATGTAACTTTTAAATTGGATGCTTTTATAGCTAAAGAAACTCCGGATTTTAATTTTGTAGTGTTTATAGAAACTTGCCTGTTTGCCACTTATGATGTCTGACAAAAATATTCTGACTGGCTTGTTCCAATGTTTTCTATTGAGTCATAAACATCTTTTTTGAAAGAACCCAGCGAACTGGTTTTATATTATAGAAGAAGTTAGAGAACACAAAAACTGTACAGAACAGAAGAGGAGAGGCATTCGTGAAGGAACTCTTCCTGCCTGCACTCCTGAGAAAAAACAAAAGCCTAATCTCTTAACATAATACACTTCACTCCCTTGGCACCTACCATTTCCCACAAATAAAGCTCATCTATGATCTTGCCAGCAAGAGCTGATGGTGTAGACTCCTTCCCTCTGAAAATGCGATTGTTTCTTTCCGTCCAAATCTCCCAAAGCGTGGTCAAGAAAACTGAACGTAGTCCTTTCTGTTGCAACTTTTCTGCCTCATCTGTTTGCTCGCGCCACCAATTGAGAAGAGTATTGTTTGTGGTCACATTGAGTCATAAACATCATTTGTTGTGTTACTAGTTTTTTGCAAGGTGGTGCAAATGCTTGTTTGATTGAAACTTTTGATACTAAGACAGTCATACGAGAGTTTAAGAAGCATGATCAGATAACTTTGTATTGGCAATATGGTTTAGGAGTATGCTTTATTCAGACATATTGTTTAGTGACTGCAAAACCTCGTCATTCTGAACAAAATTTTGATTGCATCTGTGGACAATAAGGCTGTTGGTTAACCATGGAGAGTGTTGTTTTCAGGTGCCAGGCTCACATGAATGACTTAGTGATGTCACTTGCTCAGAAATTTACGAAGCTGCAAGTTCTTTCTTTACGGCAAATCAAACCTCAGCTCGAGGACAGTGCAGTGGAGGCTGTAGCAAATAACTGTCATGATTTACGCGAGTTGGATCTTAGCAGAAGCTTTAGGCTTAGCGACCGATCGTTGTATGCTCTGGCACATGGATGCCCCCATCTTACAAGGCTCAACATCAGTGGATGTTCCAATTTCAGCGATGCTGCTTTGGCCTATCTCAGTAGCCAGTGCAAGAACCTGAAATGCCTGAATCTGTGCGGGTGTGTGAGGGCAGTTTCCGACAGAGCATTGCAGGTACCAAAGTAGTTGCGCCATTGCTCTCCATCGAATTCTTTCTGATCTTTATAACCTTGATGCAGGCCATCGCCTGTAACTGTGGTCAGCTTCAGTCTTTGAACCTAGGCTGGTGTGATAGTGTAACTGACAAGGGAGTGACCAGCTTGGCATCAGGGTGCCCTGAACTTCGGGCTCTGGACTTGTGTGGCTGTGTTCTGATAACAGGTAATCTCCGATGTTTTTTTTTCCTTGATCAGAGGGCCTATTTGGTTCTCTACACTACCAATTAATTGGTAGTACCAAAATCTAGGTAAATTTTGGCACTATCAATTTTTTGGTAGGGCAAAGTTAGCTAATCTATGTTTGGTTTAATACCAATATAAAGCTAAAATTTAGTATGAGAGTGAAGAAGATTATAGAATGTAGCCAAAGTGAGCGTGGGCACTACTAATTGTTTGGCTTCAATCTAAACTAGCATGTTTACTATTAAAGTTACCAAAATTTTGGTAGGGTCACAGAATGTTAAAATTGTTCAGTTTGAATTTTGAATAACATTTGCTTTGACATGCTGATTTACTCTAAACTGTACGAAGCCTGACAAAATGGTATCTGATCAATTTCTTGATCTGCAGATGAGAGCGTGGTCGCTCTTGCCAATGGCTGCCCTCACCTGCGGTCGCTGGGGCTCTACTACTGCCAGAACATCACCGACCGGGCAATGTACTCGCTGGCGGCGAACAGCCGGCGGGTGAGGAGCAAAGGCCGGAGCTGGGACGCGGCGGCGAGGAAGAACGCCGGCGCCGGCGCCGACGGGCTGGCCAGCCTGAACATCAGCCAGTGCACGGCGCTGACGCCGCCGGCGGTCCAGGCGGTGTGCGACTCCTTCCCGGCGCTCCACACGTGCCCGGAGCGGCACTCCCTCATCATCAGCGGATGCCTCAGCCTCACCTCCGTCCACTGCGCCTGCGCTCACCACCCGCACCGCCATGGGAGGGCCATCCTCTCCAACCATGCCTACTAGCAAGCTCCCTCTTGTAGAAACTAGAACAGCTCGGATTTGAGGAAGATGTAAATTAAAACCCCAGGATTGCTTACGATGGACTGGGGAAAACTGCTTCTGTGTTTGTGGATGGATGGTGTCATGGATCATATGTTTCTTTTGGATCAAAATCTCTGAAGAGTATATGCATGAGGAATAAGTTTACTTTGTGACCCTTAAAAGTGATCGAAATCTAATCTGTGACCCTAAACCACAAAACCGGATATCTCGACCCCCAACTCTTAAAAACGGTGCAATTTGACTCCCTTGGTGGTTTTGGAGGGCGGTTTCGCTGACGTGACGCTTATGTGGCAGTATTGGCTCGGTCTTCTGTCCACGTGGTGTTGATGTGGTGCTTACGTGGCAGTATTGACTCGGTCTTCTGTCCACGTGGCGTTGACATGGCGCTTAGGTGGCATTAGAAATAAAAATATATACGTGGGACCCATTTGTCATTCACCAAAAGTATGGGTGGGACCCACTGTCATGTGGGGCTCACATAAATCATATTCTCCCCTCTCTCTTTCTCTCCGCGAGTGTGGGACGGTGGCCAGCGGCGGCGGAGTCCTGGGAGTGGCACTGGAGCGGTGACGGCGGCATGCGGGCGAGGGCCGGAGCGGCGGCGGCGGCGGAGATCGAGCCCGCCGTGGAAGGTTGGCCGTCGGAAGGAAGAAAACGGGCCACGAGAATGGCCGTGTCCTCGCCACCCTCGGCCTCGTGACTGCACTATCCACCACTGTGCTCCACGCCCTCTCTGCCGGCCACGACGCACCCGCCTCCGCCGTTCTCCCGCCGCGCCCACGAACGCGTAAGGGCCGCTTGCGTCTCGCCACCGCGACTCGCGTCGGCATCCCCTCGAAGATGGCAGCATCCGGCGGCGGCTTCTCCTGCACTTGCGACGGCGGCGGCGTTGAAGGCGGGAGGAGCGGCGCGGGCGGGGGAGGCGCCGCCGCCGCCGATGGACGCGGTCGGCGTGCTGAGCCAGCCGACAACGACGCAACCACACGCGAGTTGGGAGGCATCTGCGTTGAGCATTCTCCTGCTGGTTGCCGAGGCAATCGGCAAGGGGCGACAGATGAGGACTGGCTGGACTGCGGCTAGCAAGCACAAGCGGTAGCAACAGGCAGTGCATGTGTGTACTAACATCAAGCGGCAAGCCAACAAGCAAAGGGCTGACTGGTTCACCGCGTTGTCCTCGACCATCTGCCTCGTCGCCGCTTCGCTGATCAGTGCCCAGTGATCCGAGTTGAATAGCCAGCACCTTCCCGGCGAGCACGTTCCTGTACGTAGCACTGGCTGTCGAGCTCCCCCGGCGTGCCGTGGTCCAGGTGCACCCACGCCGTCTCCTCCGCATCCGGCGGGCACACGGCCCGGAGCTCGTCGCCGTACTGCGCGTCTTCGTTCACCATGGGGTATATCTGCTGCGAGAAGGAGGAGCAGCGCGAGCGCGTCGAGGCGGTCGGAGCGGACGGTGTAGCTGATCGCCTGCGGGCGGCGGCGGTGCCCGGGCTGAGCTCCACCACGGCGAAGATGGAGGAGACCACAGCGGCGGCGGCGGGAGGCACACGCGGCGGGGTACGGCGAGCTCGGCCGCGCCCTGCTCGACCTGCAGGTCGCCGCCGCCACACCCGCGTCTCCGTCGCGCCGCTCGCAGGCCGCCGCTCCACACCTGCGCCTCCGCCGCTCGGGACTCCGTGCAGCCGCCGCCGCTCGCCGCAGTCTCCGCCAGCCGCCGCGACACCCGCAGAGGGGAGCTCGGCCGCCGACGACATCTCGATGCCGGCCGTCGGGTGGTGCGGGTGGTGGTGGCAGCGGCACGACATGGACTCCAACCTACCTCCGCCGCCGCCGCTTCAGCTCCCGCCGTCCGCCGCTGCTTCAGCCCCCGCCCGCCTCCGCTCGCTCCCCGCGAACGGCTGTAGGGGAGAGGGAGAGAATAGAGAAGGGGGGAGGGGAGGAAGAAGAAACGGATAAGATGGCATGTGGGGCCCACATGTCAGTGGGATCCACAAATACGCAAGGAAATAATACAATTGGCCAAAATAGATAATGAGGGTCATCTCCATATCATTTTGCATTTCTCGACAAATATAATCTGTTTGGCTATTCTAAGTGGTTCTTTTTTTCTGGGTAAAGAGGAACTTGTTATTTTGAATTCTTGGGTTCAGGAATTCTTCTATAACTTAAATGACTCAGTAAAAGCTTTTTTTATTCTTTTAGTTACTGATTTTTTTGTTGGATTTCACTCCACCCGCGGTTGGGAACTACTAATTCGTTGGGTCTATAACGATCTTGGATGGGTTCCTAACGAGCTAATTTTCACTATTTTTGTTTGTAGTTTTCCTGTGATTCTAGATACATGTTTGAAATTTTGGGTCTTTTTTTGTTTAAACCGCCTATCTCCTTCGCTTGTAGTCATTTATCATTCAATTAGTGAAGCATAAACTCATTTGATCTCCTGATATTAATCAAAATTAGCATCCTTTTTCCTTTAGAAAGAAAGCCTTTTTCCATTTTAGCAAAATTCTTTTTTTCTATTTCTACCTGCTCAAGGTATTCATCATTCCAGTACAACTGTTGCAGTAGAATGACAACAGATTCGTGTATAGGGAACTAGATTAGCTTAGCTACCTATCTAATTTATTGTAGAAATTCCGGGATCTGTGATTGGACATGGAAAATAGAAATACTTTTTCTTGGGTAAAGGAACAGATGACTCGATCGATTTCTGTATCGATCATGATATACGTAATAACTCGGACATCTATTTCAAATGCATATCCCATTTTTGCGCAGCAAGGTTATGAAAACCCACGAGAAGCAACTGGACGAATTGTATGTGCCAATTGCCATTTAGCGAATAAGCCTGTGGATATTGAAGTTCCCCAAGCAGTGCTTCCCGATACTGTATTTGAAGCAGTTCTTCGAATTCCTTATGATATGCAACTGAAACAAGTTCTTGCTAATGGGAAAAAGGGAGGGTTGAATGTGGGTGCTGTTCTTATTTTGCCCGAGGGATTCGAATTAGCGCCGCCCGACCGTATTTCTCCTGAGTTGAAAGAAAAGATAGGAAATCTCTCTTTTCAGAGTTATCGTCCCAATAAAAAAAATATTCTTGTGATAGGCCCTGTTCCCGGTAAGAAATATAGTGAAATCGTCTTTCCCATTCTTTCCCCCGACCCTGCTATGAAGAAAGACGTTCATTTCTTAAAATATCCCATATATGTGGGGGGAAACCGAGGAAGGGGACAGATCTATCCTGATGGTAGCAAGAGTAACAATACGGTCTATAATGCAACGTCAACAGGTGTAGTAAGAAAAATACTGCGTAAAGAAAAGGGGGGATATGAAATATCCATAGTCGATGCATCGGATGGACGCCAAGTGATTGATCTTATACCTCCCGGTCCAGAACTTCTTGTTTCAGAGGGGGAATCGATCAAGCTTGATCAACCATTAACAAGTAATCCTAATGTGGGAGGGTTTGGTCAGGGGGATGCAGAAATAGTGCTTCAGGATCCATTACGCGTTCAAGGCCTTTTGTTCTTCTTCGCATCCGTTATTTTGGCACAAGTTTTTTTGGTTCTCAAAAAGAAACAGTTTGAAAAGGTTCAATTGTACGAAATGAATTTCTAGGTCCCGGGATTTCTTACCATCAAGTTGGTAAAAAGCCGCGATTTATTGGCGATTGCTAGAATTCTCTATGATCCATTTTGGAAATCTTTTTTTTGTTTAGACTATTTTTTGTTTGCGAGATGTCTTGTCTGCAATTCCTTATTTCTATCATCTCATGCAAAACGAGGAGAATGCAAGGCAAGGGCGAGAACAATAAAAGGAACAAATCCTTTTAGGAGGGATTGCTGGTCTTCTTAATCCTCTATTGGGCACAAGAAAAAGGCTTTTTTGCCTTTTTCTTGTGTCGATTCTTCTTGTATCGAAATATGAATCTTTTTTCTTCCTATTCGGCAAAGATTACTATTTCTTCTTTATTTGGGTCTGTCTCTTGAACCTCTTTTGCTTAGGTTCAGGCGATGTAGTGGACAAAAAGAGGGAAAGAAAATATGGCGTGGGACAAATTTTTTGTGACCAAATAGAATTGCTTGACTTGTTCAATTAAGTTCAATTTAGAACTTACAGAAATTTTGCAAAAAAAACGGATACTCTTCCATTGAAGGCTGTTTTTTATTTTTAGGCTAGTTGAGTAGTTTTAATTAAGGTTTTATTAGTTTATTACTCTAAATTAAATCAATGATTTACAAGAGACTTCCTCCGGGGAATAAAATATTGGATCCTCGATTGATCCTTTCTTTCTCCTCGCTTCATAAAAGTGAATTAATTTCATTGGCGAGGGGGTTATAAATCAACTGATGGATTACTTCACTAACATTATTAACAAACAAAATTAACAAACAAAACGAATAAATAGAGGGATTCTGACCATCAGAGCAAAGGCTTTCTCTTTGTTATTTTTACAAATCAAAATAGGAAACCCGTTTGTAGGTTATGGAATAGATTAAAAAAGTCGGGTTATAAGAGTAAGAATTCCGCGGGTCCTTTCCGCTCTAATCAGATAAAAGGGGGTAAGGACCCGCTAAGTTCCTATTTTTTCATGTTTACAACCTGGTCCCTCCAATTACTATAGAGATGAACCCAATCCAGAATATGAACCGTAAAAGAAAACACCTATTAAACCAATCACAGCAATACCGGTTACAGTACCTATCAGCCAAAGAGGAATTCTTCCAGTAGTATCGGCCATTTCCCCTACTTTCCTCCACATTTTATCAAGTGGTCATGCTAGAGACAAAAACAGTCATGGATAGTTATAAGGATGGTATCCTTCCAAATGGGGATAAGAGAATTCTTACTACTCTCTTTCTTTCTCTCAATTGAAGAAGTAATTGGAAAATAAAACAGCAAGTACAAAAATGAGTAATAAACCCCAGTATAGACTGGTACGATTCAATTCAACATTTTGTTCATTCGGGTTTGATTGTGTCATAGTTCTATAGTTGGAATTTGGTTTATCGTTGGATGAACTGCATTGCTGATATTGATCCCAAGAAAAAAACAGTAGGTACAGCTAGTCCGTGAACAGCCAGCCATCGCACTGTAAAAATAGGATAGGTTCGATCTATGGTCATTGAGGGCCTCCTAAAAGGATCTACTAAATTCATCGAGTTGTTCTAAAGAATCAAAACGGTCGGTTATTAACGGAATTCCTTGTCGGCTTTCTGTGAAATACTCGTTTGGCCGAGGACTTCCAAACACGTCATAAGCTAAACCCGTACTGACAAATAACCAACCCGCAATGAATAGGGAAGGTATAGTAATGCTATGAATAACCCAGTATCGAATACTGGTAATAATATCAGCAAAAGAACGTTCTCCCGTGCTTCCAGACATGCTGAGCTCCCCAAATTTTTGTACATTCAAAAAAGGAATTGATTCCGTAAAAGATGGGATCAACCAGTAAATAGAAAATTACTGATATTTCATCCTTGTGAGATTGTCAATTTTGTACCAAAGGTGTATTTTGAGTATACCAAATTAGTATAGCTATCCTTCCTATCCACGTGTATCTTTTTAATTGAAATGCCATGTAAGCGCCACGTCAGCACACAGATTAGGTCAATACCGCCACGTCAGCGAAACCGCACTCCAAAACCGCCAAGGGAGTAAAATTGCACCGGTTTTAATAGTTTGAGGGTCGAGATATCCGGTTTTGCGATTTAGGGTCATGGATTAGATTCCGATCACTTTTGAGGGTCATCAAGTGAACTTATTCCTATGCATGATCATGATCTACTTCCATTCGTGATTAGAGGCCTCACGGAGGCAGAAGCAGCAGACGGCCATGGGCATCGGGAACGGGCCGGATTGAGGAGATCGCACGGGAACTGGACACCGGCCTGCTGTGCAGTCGATGGATCGCGAAGCTCTCGATCGGTGCCAGCCCAATGGGCTCACGTTCGTTTCGGGCCCATTGCAAGCGACACCAGCCCAACACCTGCCATGGTCTTTCCAGGCCCAGGCCATAAATTTTATGGGCCGGCACGGTAAGGAGAAGATGACCTCTGCTCCTTGTTACAGTAGTAACAAAGATCAAAAAAAGGTTTAGTGTATTATCAGATTGGCTGCCACTTGTATGTATTAAGATTGTTTTACTGTACGATTCCAATACTGAGATGCTGTCGTCGACGAGGCGTGGGGGTGTGCGTGTGTCACGGGCTGTTGCAGCTTCCGCACGGTCGCACGCATGGGCACCACCATTCTTGTACGAAAGATTCTCCTCTATGTCTGAATGTCTGATAGATGCAAACCAACATGCGTGCCGTTTCGTCGCATGCAGAGGGACACACACAGATCGCAAACCGGGCACGGATAACACAGACGCCCATGCCTAGCCAGCCAGAGCAAGTTGCACGCATGCTTTCTGGATTCAATGTCGGATATCAGATTCAGTGTATTGCACCAAATTGCTCAGCAGTCACCAGCAACAAGCAGAACAAATCAGGGACTCAAAAACTCTCAAGGCTGCAAGGCGAAAACAGAGATGTTTTGATGAAGTAAAAGAAAAAGGAAAAAAAATACTATAGTACTGTAGTAAAAGCACCTTAACCGATGAGGATTAATTTAAGAATGATATACATTTTAGTGTCCTTAGTTTTGGTATTATTTATTTAGAGGATGATTAAACTGGAATAGAGAGAGAGTAGAACTTAAAGTTTCTGAATGATTGGTGATATGTTGCATGTATGCACACGTCTGCAATTTGACTAACATGATCACACGACAACAACATTGCTTGCTTGGCCATGAAAAAAATATCTCACTACTCTAGTGGACTACCAGCTGCAAGCAAATAGGACTATAGGAGGGCAAGGAGTCAAAAGGCCCAGCACGAAACGACACCTCCAGGCGTGCCTAATCTA